ACCCCAGCCCCGCCCCCTCATTATTCTCATGAATATTCATCAGGCTGGAGGAGCTGCACATCCTATTGGACACTTACCCCGCCCCCACCATCGAGGCCCACCGGCGAATCAGGTACGAGACCACGCCCCCTCATTAGCATAATGCAAACTCCACCCACATTGTCACGGCCACACCCCTAATTAGCATAGAATCGGCTCATTAGCATAACCACACCCCTCATTAGCATAACACAATTGTTAGTGTAGCCACACCTCCTCATTATCATAACCCACTCATTAGCATATCAAAGCCACCACTCCTCATTAGCATAAAAGCCAGCACACTTCATTAGCATAACTGCCCTGCTGCATGTCCCGTCCTCTAATTAACATAATGTTCATTAGCCCCACCCCTCATTAGCATAAAACCGCCTAAGCCCCACCCTTAATTACCGCTGTGGTGGCTCATTAGCATAACTCTGCCCTCATTATGATGCCTCATTTGCATAACCCACCCTCATCACCATGGCATTGTCTCATTAGCATACCTCGTTGTCTCATTAGCATGACACTGCCTCATTAGCATAACCCCAGCCACATTTCCATAACCCCAAGCCTCATTAGCATAACGCCGACCTCTTTATTGTAATTCTGCTCTCATTACGTACCCACACCAAATTAGCATAACTGCACTCCTCATTACCATAATTCCACCCTCGTTTGCATAACCCAACCCTCATTACATACCTACACCAAATTAACATAACTTCTCTCCTCATTAACGTAAACCCACCCTCATTACACACCCACACCAAATTAACATTTCACTCCTCATTACCATAACTCCATCCTCATTACCATAACCCTGCCCTCATTACATCCGCACACCAAATTAGCATAACTCTATTCCTCATTATCCTAATTCCACCATCATTAGCATAACCCCAACCTCATTACCTACATACACCAAATTAGGGCAGCTTTACTCCTCATTACCATAATTCCACCCTCATTACCATAACCCCACTCTCATTACATACCCACACTAAATTTGCATAACTTCACTCCTCATTAACATAACCCCACTCCCATGACATACCTACACCAAATTACCATAACTTCACTCCTCATTAACATAACCCCACCCTCATTAACATAACCCCACCCTCATTACACACCCACACCAAATTACCATAATGTCCCTCCTCATTACCATAACCCCACCCTCATTACCATAACCCCTCCCTATTATATACCCATGCCAAATTAACATAATTTCACTCCTCATTACCATAACCTCACCCTCATTACCATAACCCCACCCCCATTCCACCCCACCCCAGGTTACTATGACCCCACCCCTCATTATCCTGCTCATTAGCATAACCCCGCCCCTTTTCCCTTTCAGGGCGGGGCTCTGTGGGGCCCGTGGCGCTCATTAGCATAACCTGCCCCTCATTATCCTTCCCACTCTGCTCATTAGCATAACCCCGCCCCTCATTACTGAACCCACACTGCTCATTAGCATAACCCCGCCCCTTTTCCCTTTCAAGTTGGTGCTCATTAGCATAACCCCGCCCCTTTCCCCTTTCAGGGCGGGGCTCTGTGGGGCCCGTGGCGCTCATTAGCATAACCCCGCCCCTTTTCCCTTTCAGGATGGTGCTCATTAGCATAACCCCGCCCCTTTTCCCTTCCAGGGCGGGGCTCTGTGGGGCCCGCGGCGCTCATTAGCATAACCCCGCCCCTCATTACACCACCTGCACTGCTCATTAGCATAACTCCGCCCCTTTTCACTTTTAGGGCGGTGCTCATTAGCATAACCCCGCCCCTTTTCCCTTTCAGGACGGGGCTCTGTGGGGCCCGCGGTGCTCATTAGCATAACCCCGCCCCTTTTCTCTTTCAGGGTGATGCTCATTAGCATAACCCCGCCCCTTTTCCTTTCAGGGCGGGGCTCTGTGGGGCCTGCAGCACTCATTAGCATAACCCCGCCCCTCATTATCATCCCTGCCCTGCTCATTAGCATAACCCCGCCCCTTTTCCTTCCAGGGCGGGGCTCTGTGGGGCCCGCGACGCCGCCCAGGCCGAGGCGGCCATCTTGGGGGCGGAGCTAGAGGCCCTGAGGGGGTGTGGCCCCGAATTTCGGGATCTGGCGCTGGAATTTGGGCGGATCCGGCAGGAATCGGAACAAAAGGGGTGGGCCCTGCGGCAGCTCCGCCCACCGACCCAGTGATGTCACAGACAGCTCATTTGCATACCGCCGGCACCGCCCACTGATGGCGTATGTGGGTGTGGGGGGTGATTGACAGGTGGGGGGCGGGGCTTGGCACTGATGGGAATAAATGGCATAAAAATCACAAATTCTGACCAAAATTCGCAGTAATTTCAATAATTCTCCCGAAAAATCCCAAATTCTCCCCAAAATCTGACAGGAAATTCACAGAATTTCCAAATAATCCCAAATTCTCCCCAAAATTTGGCTGGATATTCAATAACTCTAAAAAAAATCCCCACAAATTCCAAATTCTCCCCAAAATCTGACAGGAAATATACAGAATTTCCAAAATATCCCAAATTTGCTCCAAAATATGACAGGAATTTCAATAAATCTCAAAAAAAAAGCCCCAAAAATCCCAAAAATCCCCAAAATCCACCTGGAATTTCAATAAATCTCAAAAAAAATCCCCAAATCTCCCAAATTTGCCCCAAAATCTGCCTGAAATTGAACAGAATTTCCAATAAATTACAAATTATCCCCAAAATCCGCCTGGAATTTCAATAAATCTCGCAAAAAATCCCCAAAAATCCCAATTTTGCCCCAAAATCCGCCTGGTACTGAACAGAATCCCCAAAAAACCCAAATTCTACCCAATATCTGACAGAAAATTCACAGAATTTCCAAACAATTCCAAATTCTGCCCAAAATCCGCCTGGAATTTCAATAAATCTCAAAAAAAATCCCCGAAAATCCCAAATTCGCCCAAAATCTGCCTGGAATCTAACAGAATTCCCAAAAAATCCCAAATTCTGCCCAAAATCCGCCTGAATTTTAATAAATCTCCCAAAAAAGCCCCAAAAATCCCAAATTCGCCTCAATATCTGACAGGAAATTCACAGAAATCCCAAAAAAATCCAAAATTCGCCCCAAAATCTGCTTGAAATTGAACAGAATTCCCAAAATATCCCAAATTCGCCTCAAAATCCGCCTGGAATTGAACAGAATTCCCAAAAAATCCCAAATTCTCCCCAAAATCTGACAGGAAATTTACAGAATTCCCAAAAAATCCCAAATTCTGCCCAAAATTTGCCTGGAAATTCACAGAATTCCCAAAACAATCCCAAATTCTCCCCAAAATCCGCCTGGAATTTCAATAAATCACCCAAAAAATCCCAAAAATCCCAAAATCACCCCAAAATCCACCTAGAATTGAACAGAATTCCTTAAAAATCCCAAATTCTGCCCAAAATCAGCCGGGAATTTCAATAAATCTCAAAAAAAATCCCAAAAAATCCCAAATTCTCCCCAAAATCTGACAGGAAATTCACAGAATTCCCAAAAAATCCCAAATTCTGCCCAAAATCTACCTGGAATTGAACAGAATTCCCAAAATATCCCAAAATTCCCCAAAATCCGCCGGGAATTTCAATAAATCTCCCAAAAAAGCCCCAAAAATCCCAAATTTGCCCCAAAATCCACCTGGAATTTAACAGAATTCCTTAAAAATCCCAAATTCTGCCCAAAATCAGCCGGGAATTTCAATAAATCTCAAAAAAAATCCCAAAAAATCCCAAATTCGCCCCAAAATCTGACAGGAAATTCACAGAATTCCCAAAAAATCCCAAATTCGCCCCAAAATCTGCCTGGAGTTGAACAGAATTCCAAAAAAACCCCAAATTCCCCCCAAAACCTGTCAGGAAATTCACAAAATTCCCAAAAAAATCCCAAATTATCCCCACAATCTGCCTGACTTTCAATAAATTCCAAAAAAAGCCCCAAAAATCCCAAATTCGCCTCAAAATCTGCCGGGAATTTCAATAAATCACCCAAAAAATCCCAAAAAATCCCAAATTCCCCCCAAAATCTTACAGGAAATTCACAGAATTCCCAAAAAATCCCAAATTCTGCCCAAAATCTGACAGAAAATTCACAGAATTCCCAAAATATCCCAAATTCTCCCCAAAATCCATTGGGAATATCAATAAATCTCCCAAAAAATCCCAAATTCTGCCCAAAATCTGACAGGAAATTCGCAGAATTTCGAAAAAAATCCCAAATTCTCCCCAAAATCTGCCTGGAATTTCAATTAATCTCCCAAAAAAGCCCCAAAAATCCCAAATTCGCCTCAAAATCAGACAGGAAATTTACAGAATTCCCAAAAAATCCCAAATTCTCCCCAAAATCTGACAGGAAATTTACAGAATTTCCAAAAAATCCCAAATTCTGCCCAAAATTTGCCTGGAATTTCAATAAATCTCACAAAAAATCCCCAAAAACCCCAAATTAGCCACAAAAACTGACAGGAAATTCGCAGAATTCCCAAAAAATCCCAAATTCTGACCAAAATCCACCGGGAATTTCAATAAATGTCCCAAAAAATCCCAAATTCTCCCCAAAATCCGCCTGGAATTGAAGAGAATTCCCAAAAAATCCCAAATTCGACCCAAATTCCTTCTGGGATTTGGAGCAGCGGGGCGGGGCCCAGAGGATGATTGACAGCTCGTTCCGCTCGCTGATTGGTCAGTTTCTCTTGTGGGCGTACCCCTCAGCCGCTGCGTTGATTGACAACCAAACTCGCGTTCCTATTGGCTGACAGCCCCCGAGGGCGGGGTTAACCCTCCCGCCACTGCTTTGATTGACAGCCATCTCCGTGCTCCCATTGGCTCTGCTTTTCCCGCCTCCGCTGTGATTGACATCTCTCCGCGCTCTCCCATTGGCTCTCAGCAGCCTCGTGGGCGGGCACAACGCTGTCACAGCGCTTCTCGTCTTCCTATTGGCTGCGCGGAAGGCGGGCTCGGCGCTGATTGGTCGCCGCCTCACGGAGGGGGTGGAAGAAGCGCAGCCATGGCGGCGGGACCGGGAGCGGCGGGCACCGCTCGCGTCTCCTCAGGGCGGGATCTGAACTGCGTACCGGAGGTGGCGGGAGCGTTGGGAGCCGTGGCCAGGCAGGGGTGAGAGCCGGAACCCCAAAACCCCAAAAAAATCCCAAAAATCGTCCCGGGGAACCCCCAAAAACCGAGCCCGGAATGGGCCTCGTGTGCCCAAAGGGACCGAACGGGCGGGGAGGGCGCCGGGTCCCCTCAGGGAGCCGCGAATTCCCCAAAAATTCCCTCAGGGATTCCCGAATTCCCCAAAAATCCCCTCAGGGAGCCGCGAATTCCCCAAAAAATCCCTCAGGGAGCCGGGAATTCGCCAAAAATTCCCTCAGGGACATCAAAATCCCCTCAGGGATCCGCAAATCCCCTCAGGAATTCCCAAATTCCCCTCAGGAATCCGCAAATCCTTTCAGGAATCCCCAAGTTCCCCTCAGGGTCCCCAAAATTCACTAAATTTGTCCCAAATTCCCCTCAGGGACCCCAGATCCCCTCAGAGATCCCAAAATTGCTGAAATTTGCCCCAAATCCCCTCAGGGATCCCCAAAATTTCCCAAATTTGCCCCCAAATTCCCTAAATTTGCCCCAAATTCCCCTCAGGGACCCCAAATCCCCTCAGAGATCACAAAATTGCTGAAATTTGCCCCAAATTCTCATCAGGGACCCCAAATCCTCTCAGGAATCCCCAATTTCCCCTCAGGAATCCCCAAAAATCCCCAAATTTGCCCAAAAAATCCCAAAATTCTCTAAATTTGCCCCAAATTCCCCTCAGGGACCCCAGATCCCCTCAGAGATCCCAAAATTGTTGAAATTTGCCCCAAATCTCCTCAGGGATCCCCGAATCCCCTCAGGAATCCTCAAAATTCCCCAAATTTGCCCCAGATTTCCTCAGGAATCTCCAAAATTCCCAAATTCCCCTCAGGGACCCCAAATCTCCTCAAAAATCCCCAAAATTCCCTAAATTTGCCCCGAATTCTCATCAGGGATCCCCAAATTCCCTCAGAGATCCCAAAATGGCTGAAATTTTCCCCAAATCCCCTCAGGAATCCCCAAAATTGCTGAAATTTGCCCCAAATTCTCCTCAGGGACCCCAAATCCCCTCAGAGATCCCAAAATTGCTGAAATTTGCCCCAAATTCCCTCAGGGATCCCCAAAATTCCCCAAATTTGCCCCAACAATCCCCAAAATTCCCTGAATTTGCCCCAAATTCCCCTCAGGGACCCCAAATCCCCTCAGAGATCCCAAAATGGCTGAAATTTGCCCCAAATTTCCCTCGGGGATGCCCAAAAATCCCCGAATTTGCCCCAAATTCTCATCAGGGATCCCCAAATCCCCTCAGGAATCCTCAAAATTCCCCAAATTTCCCCCAAATTTCCTCAGGAATCCCCAAAATTCCCCAAATTTGCCCAAATTTCCCTCAGGGACCCCAAATCCCCTCAGAGATCCCAAAAGGGCTGAAATTTTTCCCAGATTCCCTCAGGGATCCCCAAATCCCCTCAGGAATCCTCAAAATTCCCAAAAATTGCCTCAAAAATCCCAAAAAATCTCTAAATTTGCCCCAAATTCCCCTCAGGGACCCCAAATACCCTCAGAAATCCCCAATTTCCTCCAGGAATCCCCAAAATTGATCACATTTGACCCAAATTCCCCTCAGGGACCCAAATTCCCCTCAGAGATCCCAAAATTGCTGAAATTTGCCCCAGATTCCCTCAGGGATCCCCAAAATTCCCCAAATTTGCCCCAAATTCCCTCAGGGATCCCCAAATCCCCTCAGGAATACTCAAAATTCCCCAGATTTGCCCCAGATTTCCTCAGGAATCTCCAAAATTCCCTAAATTTGCCCCAAATTCCCCTCAGGGACCCCAAATCCCTTCAGAGATCCCAAAATTGCTGAAATATTCCCCCAAAATGCCCAAAATTCCCTAAATTTGCCCAAAATTCCCCTCAGGGACCCCAAATCCCCTCAGAGATCACAAAATGGCTGAAATTTGCCCCAAATTCCCCTCAGGGACCCCAAATCCCCTCAGAGATCACAAAATGGCTGAAATTTGCCCCACATTCCCCTCAGGGATCCCCAAATCTCCTCAGGGACCCCAAATCCCCTCAGGGATCCCCAAAATTCCCCAAATTTCAATCCCAGTCCCTCCCAGTTCATCCCAGTTCAATCCCAGTTAAATCCCAGTCCCTCCCAGTCCCTCCCAGTTCATCCCAGTCCCTCCCAGTAACTCCCAGTTTGCCCAGTTTGCTCCCAGTTCATCCCAGTAACTCCCAGTTCCCTCTCAGTCCATCCCAGTTTGATCCCAGTCCCTCCCAGTAACTCCCAGTTTGCCCAGTTTGGGTTTCCAGTCCTTCCCAGTTCCCTCCCAGTCCATCCCAGTCCATCCCAGTTTGGGTTCCCAGTCCCTCCCAGTTCCCTCCCAGTCCCTCCCCGTCCCTCCCAGTTTGATCCCAGTCCATCCCAGTCCCTCCCAGTAACTCCCAGTTTGATCCCAGTCCCTCCCAGTCCCTCCCAGTTTGCCCAGTTTGGATTCCCAGTCCATCCCAGTCCCTCCCAGTCCCTCCCAGTTCAATCCCAGTCCCTCCCAGTTCAATCCCAGTACCTCCCAGTTCAATCCCAGTTCATCCCAGTCTATCCCAGTTCAATCCCAGTCCCTCCCAGTCCATCCCAGTTCAATCCCAGTCCATCCCAGTTCAATCCCAGTCCCTCCCAGTAACTCCCAGTCCCTCCCAGTATAACCCAGTATAACCCAAACCCCCTCCCAGTCAATCCCAGTCCATCCCAGTTTGATCCCAGTCCCTCCCAGTCCCTCCCAGTTTGATCCCAGTCCCTCCCAGTCCCTCCCAGTCCCTCCCAGTACAAACCAGTTCATCCCAGTCCCTCCCAGTTTGCCCAGTTTGGGTTCCCAGTCCCTCCCAGTGACTCCCAGTCCCTCCCAGTCCATCCCAGTTTGATCCCAGTCCCTCCCAGTAACTCCCAGTCCATCCCAGTAACTCCCACTCCATCCCAGTTTACCCCGTTTGGTTCCCAGTCCCTCCCAGTAACTCCCAGTTTGCCCAGTTTGGGTTCCCAGTCCCTCCCAGTTTGATCCCAGTCCCTCCCAGTAACTCCCAGTTTGCCCAGTTTGGATTCCCAGTCCCTCCCAGTAACTCCCAGTTTGCCCAGTTTGGGTTCCCAGTCCCTCCCAGTCCCTCCCAGTTTGCCCAGTTTGGTTCCCAGTCCCTCCCAGTTTGCCCAGTTGGGTTCCCAGTTGGGGTTCCCAGTCCCTCCCAGTAACTCCCAGTTTGCCCAGTTTGGATTCCCAGTCCCTCCCAGTTTGATCCCAGTCCATCCCAGTCCATCCCAGTCCATCCCAGTTCCCTCCCAGTCCCTCCCAGTATAACCCAGTATAACCCAAACCCCCTCCCAGTCCCTCCCAGTTTGATCCCAGTCCATCCCAGTCCATCCCAGTCCCTCCCAGTCCCTCCCAGTCCCTCCCAGTTTGCCCAGTTTGGGTTCCCAGTCCCTCCCAGTCCATCCCAGTCCATCCCAGTTTGCCCAGTTTGGGTTCCCAGTCCCTCCCAGTAACTCCCAGTTTGCTCCCAGTCCCTCCCAGTCCCTCCCAGTTTGCCCAGTTTGGGTTCCCAGTCCCTCCCAGTCCCTCCCAGTTTGCCCAGTTTGGTTCCCAGTCCCTCCCAGTCCCTCCCAGTTTGCCCAGTTTGGATTCCCAGTTTAATCTCAGTCCCTCCCAGTTCATCCCAGTTTGATCCCAGTCCGTCCCAGTTCATCCCAGTCCATCCCAGTTCATCCCAGTCCCTCCCAGTAACTCCCAGTTTGCCCCCAGTTCATCCCAGTAACTCCCAGTCCCTCCCAGTAACTCCCAGTTTGCCCAGTTTGGGTTCCCAGTCCCTCCCAGTCCATCCCAGTTTGCCCAGTTTGGGTTCCCAGTCCCTCCCAGTTCCCTCCCAGTCCCTCCCAGTTTGATCCCAGTCCATCCCAGTTCATCCCAGTCCCTCCCAGTAACTCCCAGTTTGATCCCAGTTCCCTCCCAGTCCCTCCCAGTCCCTCCCAGTTTGCCCAGTTTGGGTTCCCAGTCCCTCCCAGTCCATCCCAGTAACTCCCAGTCCCTCCCAGTTTGCCCAGTTCAATCCCAGTCCCTCCCAGTCCCTCCCAGTTTGCCCAGTTTGGTTCCCAGTCCCTCCCAGTAACTCCCAGTTCAATCCCAGTTTCGATTTCCTGTGCCTGCCGCTGTTCCACCCTCGGCACCGTCGGGAATTCTCGGCGCCGCCGGCGCGGGACCGACCGGGACCCCAAACCCGCTCCGACCTGGTGCTGGCCGGCCGTGGTTTGTACTGGTTTATACTGGTTTATACTGGTTTGTACTGGGAGGGGAAAAATGGCGGAAAAACGGGGAAAATCGGGCAAAAAATGGCCAAAAAACGGGGAAAAATCGGATTTTAAACGGTTAAAAATGGTTGAAATGGGGGTTTGGAGTTACTGGTTTATACTGGTTTGTACTGGTTTGGACTGGTTTATACTGGTTTATACTGGGAGGGGAAAAATGGGGGAAAAACGGGGAAAATCGGGCAAAAAATGGGGAAAAATTGAATTTTAAAGGGTTAAAAATGGGTGAAATGGGGGTTAGAGTGACTGGTTTGTACTGGTTTATACTGGTTTGTACTGGTTTATACTGGTTTGTACTGGTTTATACTGGGAGGGGAAAAATGGGGGAAAAACGGGGAAAATCGGGCAAAAAATGGCCAAAAAATGGCCAAAAAATGGCCAAAAATGGGGAAAAATCGGATTTTAAAGGGTTAAAAATAGGTGAAATGGGGGTTTGGGGTTACTGGTTTGTACTGGTTTGTACTGGTTTGTACTGGTTTATACTGGTTTATACTGGGAGGGAACTGGGAGGGGAAAAATGGGGGAAAAACGGGGAAAATCGGGCAAAAAATGGCCAAAAAACGGGGAAAAATCGAATTTTAAAGGGTTAAAAATGGATGAAATGAGGTTTGGAGTTACTGGTTTGTACTGGTTTGTACTGGTTTATACTGGTTTATACTGGTTTGTACTGGGAGGGGAAAAATGGGGGAAAAACGGGGAAAATCGGGCAAAAAATGGCCAAAAAATGGGGGAAAATCGAGTTTTAAAGGGTTAAAAATGGGTGAAATGGGGTTAGGAGTTACTGGTTTATACTGGTTTGTACTGGTTTATACTGGTTTGTACTGGTTTATACTGGGAGGGGGAAAATGGGGGAAAAACAGGGAAAATCGGGCAAAAAATGGCCAAAAAACGGGGAAAAATCAGATTTTAAAGGGTTAAAAATGGGTGAAATGGGGGTTTGGGGTTAATGGTTTATACTGGTTTATACTGGTTTATACTGGTTTATACTGGTTTATACTGGTTTATACTGGGAGGGCATTTTGGGGCCATTTTGGAGGGATTTGGGGCACCAAAAGGGTCAAAAATGGGGGAAAATCGGCTTTAGAGTCGGGTTTTGGTACTGGTTTATACTGGTTTGTACTGGTTTGTACTGGTTTATACTGGTTTATACTGGTTTGTACTGGTTTGTACTGGGAGGGGAAAAATGGGGGAAAAACGGGGAAAATCGGGCAAAAAATGGCCAAAAAATGGGGAAAAATCGGATTTTAAAGGGTTAAAAATGGGTGAAATGAGGTTTGGGGTTACTGGTTTGTACTGGTTTGTACTGGTTTATACTGGTTTGTACTGGTTTATACTGGTTTATACTGGTTTGTACTGGGAGGGGAAAAATGGGGGAAAAACGGGGAAAATTGGGCAAAAAATGGCCAAAAAATGGGGAAAAATCGGATTTTAAAGGGTTAAAAATGGGTGAAATGGGGTTTGGGGTTACTGGTTTATACTGGTTTATACTGGTTTGTACTGGTTTATACTGGTTTATACTGGTTTGTACTGGGAGGGGAAAAATGGGGGAAAAACGGGGAAAATCGGGCAAAAAATGGCCAAAAAATGGGGAAAAATCGAATTTTAAAGGGTTAAAAATGGGTGAAATGAGGTTTGGGGTTAATGGTTTGTACTGGTTTGTACTGGTTTGGTACTGGTTTATACTGGTTTATACTGGTTTTTACTGGGAGGGGAAAAATGGGGCAATAACGGGGAAAATCGGGCAAAAAATGGCCAAAAAATGGGGAAAAATCGAATTTTAAAGGGTTAAAAATGGGTGAAATGAGGTTTGGGGTTACTGGTTTGTACTGGTTTGTACTGGTTTATACTGGTTTGTACTGGTTTGTACTGGTTTATACTGGTTTGTACTGGGAGGGGAAAAATGGGGGAAAAACGGGGAAAATCGGGCAAAAAATGGCCAAAAAATGGGGAAAAATCGGATTTTAAAGGGTTAAAAATGGGTGAAATGAGGTTTGGGGTTACTGGTTTATACTGGTTTGTACTGGTTCTTACTGGTTTATACTGGTTTATACTGGTTTATACTGGTTTGTACTGGGAGGGGAAAAACGGGGGAAAAACAGGGAAAATCGGGCAAAAAATGGCCAAAAAATGGCCAAAAATGGGGAAAAATCGGATTTTAAAGGGTTAAAAATGGGTGAAATGGGGGTTTGGGGTTACTGGTTTGTACTGGTTTGTACTGGTTTGTACTGGTTTGTACTGGGAAGGGAAAAATGGGGGAAAAACGGAGAAAATCGGGAAAAAAATGGCCAAAAAACAGGGAAAAATCGGATTTTAAAGGGTTAAAAATGGGTGAAATGAGGTTTGGGGTTACTGGTTTATACTGGTTTATACTGGTTTATACTGGTTTATACTGGTTTATACTGGTTTATACTGGTTTATACTGGTTTGTACTGGGAGGGCGTTTTGGGGCCATTTTAGGGATTTTTGGGGCAATTTTTGGGGGATTTGGGGCACAAAAAGGGTCAAAAATGGGGAAAAAATCGGATTTAGAGTCGGGTTTTGGTACTGGTTTATACTGGTTTGTACTGGTTTATACTGGTTTGTACTGGGAGGGGATTTTTGGGGATTTTGGGGGGAATTTTGGGGGGAATTTTGGGGTGAATTCGGGATTTTTGGGTTATTTTTGTGGAAAATTGGGGGATTTTAGGATATATTTTGGGATAAATTTGGGGAATGTTTTTGGGGTTATTTTTGAAGTGGATTTTGGGATAAATTTGGGAATAAATGTTCAAATTTTGGGGTGAATTTTGGGATTAATTTGGGATAAATTTTGGGATTTTGGGGTGAATTTTGCGATAAATTTTTGATAAATTTTGGGATTTTGCGGTGAATTTTGGAGTTAATTTTGGGGATTTTAGTGTATACTTTTGGGATAAATTTTGGGATAAATTTTAGGATTTTGGGGTGAATTTTTGATTTAATTTTGGGGATTTTAGTCTGTACTTTTGGGGTAAATTTGGGGAATTTTGGGATAAATTTGGGATAAATTTGGGATAAATTTTGGGGTGAATTTTGGAGTGAATTTTGGAGTGAATTTTGGGATAAATTTGGAGATTTTTTGGGATAAATTTGGGATAAATTTTTTAATTTTGGGGTGAATTTTTGAGCGAATTTTGGGGATTTTGGTGTGTACTTTTGGGATAAATTTTGGGATAAATTTGGGATAATTTTTTTGATTTTGGGGTGAATTTTGGAGTGAATTTTGGGGATTTTTGAGATAAATTTGGGAGAAATTTTGGGGATTTTTTTGTGTATTTTTGGGATAAATTTTGGGAGAAATTTGGGAATTTTGGTCTGTACTTTCGGGGTAAATTTTGGAATTTTTGGGATAAATTTTTGGATAAATTTTGGGAATTTTGCAGACTGGAACACGCTGATCGTGGGGAAGTTGTTGGGGAATATTTTGGGATAATTTTGAGGAATTTTGGGATTATTTTGAGACAAATTTTGGGAATTTTGCAGACTGGAACACGCTGATCCTGGTGAAGCTCTCGGGGGATTTTTTGGGGATAAATTTGGGAATTTTGGGATAATTTTGGGATAAATTTTGGGAATTTTGCAGACTGGAACACGCTGATCGTGGGGAAGTTGTTGAGGGATTTTTTGGGGATAAATTTGGGAATTTTGGGATAAATTTGGGATAAATTTTGGGAATTTTGCAGACTGGAACACGCTGATCGTGGGGAAGTTCTCGGGGGATTTTTTGGGGATAAATTTGGGAATTTTGGGATAAATTTTGGGATAAATTTGGGATAAATTTTGGGAATTTTCCAGACTGGAACACGCTGATCGTGGGGAAGTTCTCGGGGGATTTTTTGGGGATAAATTTGGGAATTTTGGGATAATTTTGGGATAAATTTTGGGAATTTTGCAGACTGGAACACGCTGATCGTGGGGAAGTTGTCGGGGGATTTTTTGGGGATAAATTTGGGAATTTTTGGGATAAATTTGGAATAAATTTTGGGATTTTGGGGTGAATTTTGGAGTGAATTTTGGGGATTTTGGTGTCTACTTTTGGGATAAATTTGGGGATTTTTGGAATAAATTTTGGGGATTTTGGTGTGTACTTTTGGGATAAATTTGGGGATTTTTGGGATAAATTTGGGATAAATTTTGGGGATTTTGGTGTGTACTTTTGGGATAAATTTTGGGATAAATTTGGGAGAAATTGGGGATAAATTTTGGGATTTTTGGGGTGAATTTTGGAGTGAATTTTGGGGATTTTGGTGTGTCCTTTTAGGATAAATTTGGGACAAATTTGGAATAAATTTGGGGAATTTTTGGGATAAATTTTGGGATAAATTTGGGGATTTTGGGGTGAATTTTTGAGTGAATTTTGGGGATTTTGGTGTTTACGTTTGGGATAAAATTGGGGGATTTTTTAGGATAAATTTGGGACAAATTTGGGATAAATTTTGAGGATTTTGGTGTGTAATTTTGGGATAAATTTGGGGTAAATTTTGGGATTTTGGAATGAATTTTGGAGCGAATTTTGGTGTGTACTTTTTGGATAAATTTTGGGATAAATTTGGGAATTTTGGGATAAATTTGGGATAAATTTTGGGAATTTTCCAGACTGGAACACGCTGATCGTGGGGAAGTTGTTGAGGGATTTTTTGGGGATAAATTTGGGAATTTTGGGATAATTTTGGGATAAATTTTGGGAATTTTCCAGACTGGAACACTCTGATCGTGGGGAAGTTGTCGCCGTGGATCCGCCCGGATTCGCCCCTGGAACACGTCCGGAAAAACTCCCAAAAGGTGAAATTTGGGCAATTTTGGGCAATTTTGGGGTGAATTTGAAATTTGTGGTGAATTTCGGGGTGAATTTTGGGGTTTTTTGGGGTGAATTTCGGGGTGAATTCTGGGGTTTTTGGGGCGGATTTCAGGGTGAATTTCGGGGCAGATTTTGGGTTTTTTTGGGGTGAATTTGGGTTTTTTTGGGGCAGATTTTGGGGTGAATTCCGGTGTTTTTTGGGGTGATTTTGGGGTGAATTTATGGTTTTTTGGGGCGGATTTTGAGGTGAATTTTGGGGTGATTTTTGGGGTGAATTTTGGCATTTTTGGGGTGAATTTTGGGGTTTTTGGGGTGAATTTTGGGGTTTTTTGGGGCGGATTTTGGGGTTTTTTGGGGTGAATTTCCGGGTGATTTTGAGGTGAATTTTGGGGTGAATTTTGGGGAGATTTTTTATTTTGAGGTGAATTTTGGGGTGAATTTCGGGGTGATTTCGGGGTGGATTTTGGGGTGAATTTTGGGTTTTTTGGGGCGGATTTTGGGGTGAATTCTGGGGTTTTTGGGGCGGATTTTAGGGTGAGTTTCGGGGCAGATTTTGGGTTTTTTTGGGGTGATTTTGGGGTGAATTTTGGGGTGGATTTTGAGGTGGATTTTAGAATTTTTTGGGGTGAATTTTGGGTTTTTTGGGGTGAATTTTGGGGTGAATTTTGGGGTGGATTTTGAGGTGGATTTTAGAATTTTTTGGGGTGAATTTTGGGTTTTTTGGGGTGAATTTGGGTTTTTTGGGTTGAGTTTTGGGGTGAATATTGGGTTTTTGGGGTGGATTTTGAGGTGAATTTTGGGTGGATGTTGAGGTTTTTTAGGGTGAATTTTGGGGTTTTTTGGGGTTTTTGGGGTGAATTCCGGTGTTTTTTTGGGGGTGAATTTTGGGGTGAATTCCAGTGTTTTTTGGGGCAGATTTTGGGGTGAATTTGGGGTTTTTTGGGGTGAATTTTGGGCTGAATTTCTGGGTGAATTCTTGGGTTTTTTGGGGTTATTTTGGGGTAAATTTTGGGGTGAATTTCAGCACGGATTTTGGGTTTTTTTGGGTTGAATTTCGGGGTTTTTTGGGGTGATTTTGGGCTGAATTTTGAGGTGAATTTTGGGTCAATTTTGAGGTGGATTTTGAGGTGAATTTGGAGTGAATTTTGGGGTTTTTTGGGGTGATTTTGGGCTGAATTTCAGGGTGTTTGTTGGGGGTGAATTTTGGTGTTTTTTGGGGCTGATTTGGGGCTGAATTTTGGGTTTTTTGGGGTTAATTTTGAGTGAATTTCGGGGTTTTTTGGGGTGGATTTTGAGCTGAATTTTGGGGGTTTTTGGGGTCGAATTTGGGTTTGTTTGGGGCGGATTTCGGGTGAATTTTGAGGTGAATTTCAGGGCAGATTTTGGTCTTTTTTGTGGTGAATTTTGGGGTGAATGTGGGTTTTTTGGGGCAGATTTTGGGCTGAATTTTGGCTTTTTTGGGTGGATTTCGGGTTGAATTTTGAGGTGAATTTGAGGTGAATTTTGGGCTGAATTTTGGATTTTTTGGGGTGGAATTTTGGTTTTTTTGGGCTGAATTTTAGGTGGAGTTTGAGGTGAATTTCGGGGTGATTTTGGGCTGAATTTCGGGGTGGACTTTGAGGTGAATTTGGGGTGAATTTTGGGCTGAATTTTGTTGTTTTTTGGGGTGAATTTGGATTTTTTTGGGGTGGATTTTGGGGTGAATTTCAGTGTTTTTTGGGCTGAATTTTGGGGTGTACTTTGTGGTGAATTTGGGTTTTTTTTGGGGTGATTTGGGGGTTTTTGGAGGTGATTTTGGGGTGAATTTTGGGGTGTTTGGGGTGATTCTTGGGTGGACTTTAGGGTGAATTTTGGGGTGGATTTTGGGGTGAATTTTGGGGTGCATTTTGGGGTGAATTTTGGGGTGAATTTTGGTGGTTTTGGGGGCGTATTTTGGGCTGAATTTTTGCTTTTTTGGGCAAATTTTGAGGTGAATTTCGGGCTGAATTTTATGGTGAATTTGGTGTGAATTTGGGCTGAATTTTGGGGTAAATTTCTGTGTTTTTTGCCCGCAGGCGCTGCGCCAGGAACTGGATTTCGGCGCCTACCTCGGCCTCGCCGCTCACCTGGTGCCCCTCAGGGGACCCCACAACCCCAACCTGGCCCGGGGGCTCAGCGCCCACCTGCACAGCGGCCACCACGCCACACAGGTACTGGGTGAACTGGTTTGGACTGGGAGGGACTGGGAGGGGAAAAAACGGGGAAAAAACGCGAAAAAATGGGGGAAAAATGCGAAAAAACGGGGAAAAAATGTGAGAAAAATGTGAAAAAACAGGGAAAAAATGGGGATGAAAGGGTTAAAAATGGAGGTTTATACTGGTTTGTACTGGTTTGGACTGGTTTGTACTGGGAGGGACTGGGAGGAGAAAAAACGGGGAAGAAACGTGAAAAAATGGGGGAAAAATGCGAAAAAATGGAGAAAAAATACGAAAAAATGGGAGAAAAATGTGAAAAAATGGGGAAAAAATGGGGATGAAAGGGTTAAAAATAGTGGGATTTGGTACTAGTTTGTACTGGTTTATACTGGTTTGGACTGGTTTGGACTGGGAGGAAAAATGGGGAAAAATGATAAAAAAATAGGGAAAAATGAGAAAAAAAATGGGGGAAAATGGGCAAGAAGGGGTGAAAAATGGAAAAGAAAGGGTTAAAAATGTGGAGTTGGTACTGGTTTGTACTGGTTTATACTGGGAGGGACTGGGAGGGAAAAATGGGGGAAAAACGTGAAAAAACAGGGGAAAAATGCGAAAAAATGGGGAAGAAATGTGAAAAAACGGGAAAAAACGCTAAAAAATTGGGAAGAAAGGGTTAAAATGGTGGGACTTGGTACTGGTTTGTACTGGTTTATACTGGGAGGGACTGGGAGGGGAAAAAACGGGAAAAAAACGCGAAAAAACGGGGAAAAAATGCGAAAAAACGAAAAAATGTGAAAAAAGGGGGAAGAAAGGGTTAAAAATGGAGGTTTATACTGGTTTGGACTGGTTTATACTGGTTTGGACTGGTTTGTACTGGGAGGGGAAAAACGGGGGGAAAAATGCGAAAAAACGGGGAAAAAACGCGAAAAAACGGGGAAAAATGTGAAAAAACGGGGAAAAATGAAAAAAAATGGGGAAGAAAGGGTTAAAAATGGCGGGATTTGGTACTGGTTTATACTGGTTTGGACTGGTTTGGTACTGGTTTGGACTGGTTTATACTGGGAGGGACTGGGAGGGGAAAAATGGGGAAAAAATGGGGAAAAATGAGAAAAAAATGGAGAAAAATGGGGAAGAAAGGGTAAAAATGGGTTGAAAATGGGGAGAAAAGGGTTAAAAATGGGGGGTTTGTACTGGTTTATACTGGTTTATACTGGGAGGGACTGGGAGGTACTGGGAGGGGAAAAATGTGAAAAAATGGGAAAAAAAGGCAAAAAAACGGGGAAAAAATGGAAAAAATGGGAAAAATGCGAAAAAAATGGGGAAGAAAGGGTTAAAAATTGGGAGAAAAGGGTTAAATGGGGGGTTTGGTACTGGTTTGTACTGGGAGGGAACTGGGAGGGAACTGGGAGGGACTGGGAGGGGAAAAAATGGGAAAAATGAGAAAAAACGGGGAAAAAATGCGAAAAAATGGGGAAAAAATGCGAAAAAAATGTGAAAAATGGGGAAAAAATGGGGATGAAAGGGTTAAAAATAGTGGGATTTGGTACTGGTTTATACTGGTTTATACTGGGAGGGACTGGGAGGGGAAAAAATGGGGAAAAAACGCGAAAAAACGGGGAAAAAATGTGAAAAAACAGGGAAAAAATGGGGAAAAAATGGGAAAAATGGGGATGAAAGGGTTAAAAATAGTGGGATTTGGTACTGGTTTGTACTGGGAGGGACTGGGAGGGACTGGGAGGGGGAAAATGGGGAAAAATGGGGAAAACGCGAAAAAACGGGGAAAAAACGGGGAAAAAATGTGAAAAACGGGGAAGAAAGGGTTAAAATGGAAAAGAAAGGGTTAAAATTGTGGTTATTTGGTACTGGTTTGGACTGGTTTATAGTGGTTTGGACTGGTTTTACTGGGAGGGACTGGGAGGGGAAAAACGGGGAAAAAATGTGAAAAAACGGGGAAAAAACGGGAAAAAATGGGGAAAAAATGCGAAAAAATGGGGGGAAAAGGGTTAAAATGGCGGGATTTGGTACTGGTTTGTACTGGTCCATACTGGTTTATACTGGTTGTTACCAATTTTTTCAATTTTTTACCGGGTTTTTTTGGTCCATACTGGTCCATACTGGTCCATACTGGTTTATACTGGTTTATACTGGTCCATACTGGTCCATACTGGTCCATACTGGTTTATACTGGTCCATACTGGTCCATACTGGTCCATCCTGGTTTATACTGGTCCATACTGGTTTATACTGGTCCATCCTGGTTTATACTGGTCCATACTGGTTTTTACTGGTCCATACTGGTCCATACTGGTCTATACTGGTTCATACTGGTTTATACTGGTCCATACTGGTTTATACTGGTCCATACTGGTTTATACTGGTCTATACTGGTCCATACTGGTTTATACTGGTCCATACTGGTTTAAACTGGTCTATACTGGTCCATACTGGTTTATACTGGTCCATACTGGTCCATACTGGTCCATACTGGTTTATACTGGTTTATACTGGTTTATACTGGTCCATACTGGTCCCTACTGGTTTATACTGGTCCATGCTGGTCCATACTGGTCCATACTGGTCCATACTGGTCCATACTGGTCCATACTGGTTTATACTGGTCCATACTGGTCCATACTGGTCCATACTGGTCTATACTGGTCCTTACTGGTCCATACTGGTCTATACTGGTCCATACTGGTCCATACTGGTTTATACTGGTCCATACTGGTTTATACTGGTCCATACTGGTTTATACTGGTTTATACTGGTTTATACTGGTCCATACTGGTTTATACTGGTCCATACTGGTTTATACTGGTTTATACTGGTTTATACTGGTCCATACTGGTTTATACTGGTCCATACTGGTTTATACTGGTTTATACTGGTTTATACTGGTCCATACTGGTTTATACTGGTCCATACTGGTCCATACTGGTTTAAACTGGTCCATACTGGTCCATACTGGTCCATACTGGTTTATACTGGTCCATACTGGTCCATACTGGTCCATACTGGTCCATACTGGTCCATACTGGTTTAAACTGGTCCATACTGGTCCATACTGGTCCATACTGGTTTATACTGGTCCATACTGGTCCATACTGGTTTATACTGGTCCATACTGGTCCATACTGGTCCATACTGGTCCATACTGGTTTATACTGGTCCATACTGGTCCATACTGGTCCATACTGGTTTATACTGGTCCATACTGGTTTATACTGGTCCATACTGGTTTAAACTGGTCCATACTGGTCCATACTGGTTTATACTGGTCCATACTGGTCCATACTGGTCCATACTGGTTTATACTGGTCCATACTGGTCCATACTGGTCCATACTGGTCCATACTGGTTTATACTGGTCCATACTGGTCCATACTGGTCCATACTGGTTTATACTGGTCCATACTGGTCCATACTGGTTTATACTGGTCCGTACTGGTTTCCCAGTTCTGGGTCCAGGTGCCGCTGGTGCCCCCTGAGGAGAGCCGCGATGACGTCATCGGGAACGAGGCCCCGCCCCCCAGCGGAGACGAGGAGAACACCTGGGAGTGGTGAGGGAATGGGGGAAAAAAGCGGGATTTTGGGAAAAATGGGGGAAAAATGGGGAAAAAACGGGGAAAAAACGGGGAAAAATGGGGGAAAAAATGGGGGAAAATGGGGAAAAATGGGGGAAAATGGGGGGAAAAATGGGGGAAAAATGGGGGAAAAAAGGGAAAAAATGGGGGAAAATGGGGAAAAAATGGGGGAAAATGGGGGAAATGGGGGAAAAATGGGAGGAAAATGGGGAAAAATGGGAAAATGGGGGGGAAATGGGGGAAAAAATGGGGAAAAAAGGGCAATAAAGAGGGAAAAATGGGGAAAAAAACAGGGATTTTGGGAAAAAGGGGGAAAAATGGGGAAAATGGGGAAAAAATGGGGGAAAAAATGGGGGAAAAATGGGGATAAAATGGGGAAAAAAAAAGGGAAAAAAAGGAAAAAAATGGGGGGGAAATGGGGGAAATTGGGGGGGAAATGGGGGGAAATGAGGGAAAATAGGGGGAAAAAATAGGGATTTTGGGAAAAATGGGGAAAATGGGGGATAAATGGGGAGAAAATGGGGATTTTGGGAAAAATGGGGAGAAATGGGGATAAATGGGGGGGAAATGGGGAAAAATGGGGGAAAACCAGGGATTTTGGGAAAAACGGGGAAAAAAATGGGATTTTGGGAAAAAAGGGGGAAAAACAGCAAAAAATGGGGATTTTGGGGAAAACGGGGAAAAACGGGGGAAATGGGGGAAAAAACGGGGATTTTGGAAGAAATGGGGATAAAATGGGGAAAAAAAGGGAAAAAATGGGGGGGAAATGGGGGAAAATGGGGATTAAATGGGGAAAAAGAGAAAAATGGGGGGAAAAACAGGGATTATGGGAAAAATGGGGGAAAACGGGATTTTGGGAAAAATGGGGGAAAATGGGGAAAAACGGGAGAAAATGGGGATAAATGGGGGAAAAACGGGGATTTTGGGAAAAATGGGGGAAAATGGGGGAAAAATGGGGGAGAAAATGGGGGAAAAAGGGCAAAGAACGGGGAAAAAAGGGGAAAAAATGGGGAAAAAATGTGGGAAAATGGGGATTTTGGGAAAAAATTGGGAAAAATGGGGATTTTGGGAAAAACGGGGACACAAATGGCAAAAAACGGGGATTTTGGGGAAAAATGGGGGAAAAACAGCAAAAAAAACGGGGAAAAATGGGGGGAAAAACGGGGATTTTGTGAAAAATGGGGGGGAAATGGGAAAAATTGGGAAAACAGCAAAAAACTGGGAAAAAATGTGATTTTCGGAAAAAATGGGGGAAAAAAGCGGGATTTTGGGAAAAAATGGGGGAAAATGGGGGAAAAAGCGGGATTTTGGGAAAAATGGGAATGGGGAAACAACTGGGGAAAAAATGGGGGAAAATGGGGAATAAATGGGGGGAAAATGGGGGAAAAAAGTGGGATTTTGGGAAAAATGGGAAAAATGGGATTTTTGGAAAAAATGGAAATGGGGGAAAAAAGCGGGATTTCAGAAAAAATGGGGGGGCAAAGCGGGATTTGGGGGAAAAATGGGGATTTTGGGGAAAAATTGGGACAAAACAGCAAAAAAAGGGGAAAAATGGGGGGAAAAATCACAGATTTTGGGAAAAATGGGGAAAAAATGAGGAAAAAAGCGGGATTTGGGGAAAAATGGGGACAAAACAGCAAAAAACGGGGAAAAATGGGAGAAAAACAGGGATTTTGAGAAAAATGGGGAAAAATGAATTTTGGGAAAAAATGGGGAGAAAGTGGGGGGAAAAAAGCGGGATTTTAGGAAAAAATGGGAAAAAAACGAGATTTTTAGAAAAACTGGGGAAAAAATGGGGGGAAAAGGAAAAAACGGAAAAAACAGCAAAAAACAGGGAAAAAATGGGGGAAAAGGTGGGATTTTGGGAAAAACGGGAAAAATGGGGATTTTTGGAAAAATGGGGGGAAAACATGGATTTTGGCAAAAAATGCGTGGAAATTTGGAAAAAAATGGGGATTTTGGGAAAAACAGAAAAAATGGGGGGGAAATGGATTTTGGGAAAAACGGGGAAAAAAACAGCAAAAAATGGGGAAAAAAACGGGGATTTTGGGAAAAAATGGGGGGAAATGGGGAAAAACGGGGATTTTGGGAGAAAAACTTTGGGGCGCATTTTGGGGTGTATTTGGGTGATTTTGGGGTCCATTTTGGGTAATTTTGGGGTGATTTTGGGTAATTTTGAGGGTGCATTTTGGGCTGTATTTAGAAGATTTTGGGGTGATTTTGGGGTGGATTTTGGTGTGTATTTGGGTGATTTTTAGGGTGCATTTTGGGGTGAATTTTGGGGTGATTTTGGGTAATTTTGGAGTCCATTTTGGGGTGATTTTGGGCTGTATTTGGGGTGCATTTTGGGGTTAATTTGGGTAATTTTGGGGTGCATTTTGGGGTACATTATGGGCTGTATTTGGGTGATTTTGGGGTGATTTTGGGCTGTATTTGTGTGATTTTGGGGTGCATTTTGGGCTGTATTTTGGTGATTTTGGGGTACATTTTGGGCTTTATTTGGGTGATTTTGAGGTGCATTTTGGGCTGTATTTGGGGTGATTTTGGGGTAATTTTGGGGTCCATTTTGGGGTAATTTTGGGAAATTTTGGGGTGCATTTTGGGGTATATTTGGGTGATTTTGGGCTGTATTTGGGGTGAATTTGGGTAATTTTGGGGTGAATTTTTGGCTGTATTTGGGTGATTTTGGGGTGAATTTTGGTGTGTATTTTCGGTTGTATTTAGAAGTTTTTGGGGTCATTTTGGGGTGTATTTAGGTGATTTTTGGGGTGATTTTGGGGTGTGTTTGGGTGATTTTGGGGTGCATTATGGGCTGTATCTGGGCTGTTTTCGGGGCGATTTTGGGTGATTTTGGGGTGATTTTGGGTAATTTTGGGGCGCGTTTTGGGGTGATTTTCGGTGATTTTGGGGTGCATTTTGGGCTCATTTTGGACTGTATTTTGGGTGATTTTTGGGGTGCATTTTGGGCTGAGTTTTGGGGTGTATTTAGGGGATTTTGGGGTGCATTTTTGGGTACATTATGGGGTGTATTTGGGGGGCATTTTGGGCTGTATTTGGGGTGATTTTGGGTAATTTTAGGGTGCATTTTGGGGTGATTTTGGGTAATTTTGGGGTGTATTTGGGTGATTTTTGGAGTGAATTTTGGGCTGTATTTTTGGTCATTTTGGGTAATTTTGGGGTGCATTTTGGGCTGTATTTGGGGTATTTTGGGGTGATTTTGTGTAATTTTGGGGCGCATTTTGGGCTGTATTTTGGGTGATTTTGGGGCACATTTTGGGCTGTATTTGGGTAATTTTGGGGTGTATTTTGGGGTGATTTTGGGCTGTATTTGGGTGATTTTGGGGTGAATTTTTGGGTGATTTTGGGTAATTTTGGGGCGCATTTTTGGGTGATTTTGGCTAATTTTGTGGTGCATTTTGGGCTGCATTTTGGATGTATTTTGGGCTGTATTTGGGGTGATTTTGGTTAATTTGGGGTTTTTTCTCCCTCCCCTCAGGTGGCACAACTTCCGCACCCTCCTGGACTACAACAAACGAGTGGCGCTCGGTGAGGGCGGGGCCTGAACCGCGGGGCGGGGCTTATGCAAATCAGGGGGCGGGGTTTATGTGGAGGGGCGGAGCTAACTTGGGAGGGGGCGGGGCTAACATGGAAGGGGCGTGGCTTCAACTGAGGGAGTGTGGTTTATCTGGGAGGGGGCGTGGTTTCAGCTAAAGGGGGCGTGGCTTCCTTTGAGTGACAGTGGTTTATCTGGGAGGGGGCGGGGCTTCAGCTAAAGGGGGTAGGGCTTAACCTGAGGGGTTTATACTGGTTTATACTGGTTTATACTGGTTTGTATTGGTCCATACTGGTTTATACTGGTCTATACTGGTTTGTACTGGTTTATACTGGTCCAAACTGGTTTATACTGGTTTATACTGGTTTATGCTGGTTTATACTGGTCCAAACTGGTTTATACTGGTTTATACTGGTTTATACTGGTCTAAACTGGTTTATACTGGTCCAAACTGGTTTATACTGGTTTATACTGGTTTATGCTGGTTTATTCTGGTCTGTATTGGTTTATACTGGTTTATACTGGTTTATACTGGTCTATACTGGTTTATACTGGTCTATACTGGTTGATATTGGTTTCTATTGGTCCATACTGGTCCGTACTGGTTTATACTGGTCTATACTGGTTTATACTGGTTTATACTGGTTTATACTGGTCCAAACTGGTTTATACTGGTTTATACTGGTTTATGCTGGTTTATACTGGTCCAAACTGGTTTATACTGGTTTATACTGGTTTATACTGGTCTAAACTGGTTTATACTGGTCCAAACTGGTTTATACTGGTTTATACTGGTTTATGCTGGTTTATTCTGGTCTGTATTGGTTTATACTGGTTTATACTGGTTTATACTGGTCTATACTGGTTTATACTGGTCTATACTGGTTGATATTGGTTTCTATTGGTCCATACTGGTCCGTACTGGTTTATACTGGTCTATACTGGTTTATACTGGTTTATACTGGTTTATACTGGTTTATATTGATTTTTATGGGGTTTTGTTGGGTTTTAACTGGGTTTTACTGGTTTTTACTGGTTTATATTGGTTTATACTGGTTTATACTGGTTTATACTGGTTTATACTGGTTTATACTGGTTTTTATGGGTTTTTATGAGTTTTTATTGGGTTTTTACTGGTTTATACTGGTCCATACTGGTTTATACTGGTTTTTATGGGTTTTTATGGGTTTTTATGGGTTTTTATGGGTTTTTCTGGTTTATACTGGTCCATACTGGTTTATACTGGTCCATACTGGTTTATACTGGTTTATACTGGTTTTCAGCCTTGGAACTGGGCCTGGACCTGCCCTCCCCCGCGGCCCTGACTGGGTTATACTGGGTTATACTGGTTTATACTGGTTTTTACTGGTTTCTTTGGGTTTTTATGGGTTTTTTGGGGTTTTTTGGGGTTTTACTGGTTTATACTGGTTTATACTGGTTTATACTGGTTTTTATCAGTTTTTATGGTTTTTTATGGGGTTTTTTTGGGTTATACTGGTCCATACTGGTTTATACTGGTTTATACTGGTTTTCAGCCCTGGAACTGGGCCAGGACCTGCCCTCCCCCGCAGCCCTGACTGGTTTATACTGGTTTATACTGGTTTCTATAGGTTTTTATGGGTTTTTATGGGGTTTTTTTGGGTTGTACTGGTCCATACTGGTTCATACTGGTTTATACTGGTTTATACTGGTTTGTACTGGTTTTCAGCCCTGGAACTGGGCTTGGACCTTCCCTCCCCCGTGGCCCTGACTGGGTTATACTGGTTTATACTGGTTTATACTGGTTTCTATAGGTTTTAATGGGTTTTTATGGGGTTTTTTTGGGTTTTACTGGTCCATACTGGTCCATACTGGTTTATACTGGTTTTTACTGGTTTATACTGGTTTTCAGCCCTGGAACTGGGCCCGGACCTGCCCTCCCCCGCGGCCCTGACTGGTTTATACTGGTTTATACTGGTTTTTATGATTTTTTAATGGGTTTTTATGGGGTTTTTTTGGTTTATACTGGTCCATACTGGTCCATACTGGTCCATACTGGTTCATACTGGTTTATACTGGTTTTTACTGGTTTTCAGCCCTGGAACTGGGCCCGGACCTGCCCTCCCCCGCAGCCCTGGCCCGTTGGTTGGGTGAACCCGTACGTGCCGCCTTCCTCCCCACCCGCCTCTTCCTCACCAACAAAAAAGGGTTCCCCGTGCTGGGCCGAGGCCACCAGCGCCTGCTGGGACAGCTCCTCAAGGTACTGGTTTATACTGGTTTGTACTGGTTTATACTGGGAGGGACTGGGAGGGAAAAACGGGGAAAAAATGGGGGAAAAACGGCAAAAAACGGGCAAAAAATGGGTGAGAAATGGGGAAAAAAGGGTTAAAAAGGGGATTTGGGTTACTGGTTTATACTGGTTTATACTGGTTTATACTGGTTTATACTGGGGGTTACTGGTTTGTACTGGGAGGGACTGGGAAGGGGAAAATGGGGAAAAAATGGGGCAAAAACGGGGCAAAAAGGGCGAAAAACGGGCAAAAAATGGGCGAGAAATGGGAAAAATGGGTTAAAAAAGGGTTAAAAAGGGGATTTGGGGTACTGGTTTATACTGGTTTATACTGGTTTGAGACTGGGGGTTACTGGTTTATACTGGGAGGGACTGGGAGGGGAAAAACAGGAAAAAAAGGGCGAAAAACGGGCAAAAAATGGGTGAGAAATGGCGAAAAAAATGGTTAAAAAGGGTATTTGGGGGAACTGGTTTATACTGGTTTGTACTGGTTTATACTGGTTTGGGACTGGGGGTTACTGGTTTGGACTGGGAGGGACTGGGAGGGGGAAAATGGGGGGAAAATGGGGCAAAAAGGGCGAAAAACGGGCAAAAAATGGGTGAGAAATGGCGAAAAAATGGTTAAAAAGGGTATTTGGGGGAACTGGTTTATACTGGTTTATACTGGTTTGGGACTGGTTTGTACTGGTTTGTACTGGGAGGGACTGGGAGGGGAAAAATGGGGAAAAAACGGGGAAAAAACGGCAAAAAACGGGTAAAAAATGGGTGAGAAATGGGGAAAAAAGGGTTAAAAATGGTTAAAAAGGGGATTTGGGGTACTGGTTTATACTGGTTTGTACTGGTTTATACTGGGAGGGACTGGGAACGGAAAAATGGGGAAAAAACGGGGCAAAAATGGCGAAAAACGGGCAAAAAATGGGTGAGAAATGGGAAAAAAGGGTTAAAAAGGGGATTTGGGTTACTGGTTTATACTGGTTTGTACTGGTTTGTACTGGTTTATACTGGGGGTTACTGGTTTGGACTGGGAGGGACTGGGAGGGGAAAAACGGGGAAAAAACGGCAAAAAACGGGCAAAAAATGGGTGAGAAATGGGGAAAAAAGGGTTAAAAATGGGTTAATAAAGGGTTAAAAAGGGGATTTGGGGTACTGGTTTATACTGGTTTGTACTGGTTTATACTGGTTTATACTGGGGGTTACTGGTTTGGACTGGGAGGGGCAGAATGGGGAAAAACGGGGCAAAAATGGTGAAAAACGGGTAAAAAATGGGTGAGAAATGGGGAAAAAAGGGTTAAAAAAGGGTTAAAATGGGGATTTGGGTTACTGGTTTATACTGGTTTATACTGGTTTATACTGGTTTGGGACTGGGGGTTACTGGTTTGGACTGGGAGGGGTCAAAGCAGGAAAAAATGGGGGAAAAAGGACAAAAAATGGGCAAAAAATGGGGAAAAAGGGTTAAAAATGGGTTAAAAAGGGGATTTGGGTTACTGGTTTGTACTGGTTTGTACTGGTTTATACTGGTTTGGGACTGGGGGTTACTGGTTTGGACTGGGAGGGACTGGGAGGGGGAAAATGGGGAAAAAATGGGGCAAAAAGGGGAAAAAATGGCAAAAAACGGTTTATACTGGTTTATACTGGTCTATACTGGTTTTTACTGGTTTTTACTGGTTTTTTCCCAGCTGGACGTGCAGATCATCGTGCAGGGCACTGGTTTATACTGGTTTATACTGGTTTATACCACCATGTATTATTACTATATATGGCCGTATATTGCTGTATACTGGTTTATACTGGTTTATACTGGTTCATACTGGTTCATACTGGTTTATACTGGTTTTTACTGGTTTCTCCCCAGCTGGACGTGCAGATCATCATGGAGGGTGCGCCCTGGCACTGGTTTATACTGGTTTATACTGGTTTATACTGGTGCATACCACCATGTATCATTGCCATATATTACTGTATATTACTCTATACTGGTTTATACTGGTCCATACTGGTCCATACTGGTTTATACTGGTTTATACTGGTGTATACCACCATATATCATTGTCATACATGGCTGTATATTACTGTATATTGCTCTATACTGGTTTATACTGGTTCATACTGGTTTATACTGGTTTATACTGGTTTTTTCCCAGCTGGACGTGCAGATCATCGTGCAGGGCGCCCCCCGGCACTGGTTTATACTGGTTTATACTGGTATATACCACCATGTATTATTACCATATAAGACCATATATTACTGTATATTACTGTATACTGGTTTATACTGGTTCATACTGGTTTTTACTGGTTTATACTGGTTCATACTGGTTTTTACTGGTTTTTTCCCAGCTGGACGTGCAGATCATCGTGCAGGGCACTGGTTTATACTGGTTTATACTGGTTTATACTGGTGCATACCACCATGTATTATTACCGTATACCACTGTATATTGCTGTATATTGGTTTATACTGGTCTATACTGGTTTATACTGGTCCGTACTGGTTTATACTGGTTTTTACTGGTTTTTACTGGTTTTTACTGTTTTTTTCCGCAGCTGGACGTGCAGATCATCATGCAGGGCACTGGTCTATACTGGTTTATACTGGTTTATACTGGTGCATACCACAATGTATTATTACCGTATATTACTGTATATTGCTCTATACTGGTCTATACTGGTTTATACTGGTTTATACTGGTTTTTACTGGTTTTTTCCCAGCTGGACGTGCAAATCATCGTGCAGGGCGCTGGTTTATACTGGTTTATACTGGTTTATACTGGTGCATACCACCATGTATCATTGTCATATATTACTGTATATTGCTCTATACTGGTTTATACTGGTCTATACTGGTCCATACTGGTTTATACTGGTTTATACTGGTTTTTACTGGTTTTTCCTCAGCTGGACGTGCAGATCATCGTGCAGGGCACTGGTTTATACTGGTTTATATTGGTTTATATCACAATGTATTATTGCCATACACAGCCATATATTACTGTATATTGCTCTATACTGGTTTATACTGGTTTATACTGGTTTATACTGGTTTATACTGGTTTATACTGGTTTTTACTGGTTTTCTCCCCAGCTGGACGTGCAGATCATCGTGCAGGGCACTGGTTTATACTGGTTTATACTGGTCTATACCACCATATATCATTGCCATACACGGCCGTATATTACTGTATATTACTCTATACTGGTCCATACTGGTTCATACTGGTTTATACTGGTTTTTACTGGTTTTTTCGCAGCTGGACGTGCAGATCATCGTGCAGGGCGCACCCTGGCACTGGTTTATACTGGTTTATACTGGTTTATACCACCATGTATCATTGCTATACACGGCCATATATTACTGTATATTGCTGTATACTGGTCCATACTGGTTTATACTGGTTCATACTGGTTTTTACTGGTTTCTCCCCAGCTGGACGTGCAGATCATCGTGCAGGGCACTGGTTTATACTGGTTTATACTGGTTTATACTGGTGCATACCACCATGTAACATTCCCATACATGGCCGTATATTACTGTATATTGCTGTATACTGGTTTATACTGGTTTATACTGGTTTATACTGGTTTTTACTGGTTTTTCCCCAGCTGGACGTGCAGATCATCGTGCAGGGCACTGGTTTATACTGGTGCATACTGGTGCATACCACCATGTATTATTACCGTATACCACTGTATATTGCTGCATACTGGTTTATACTGGTTCATACTGGTTTTTACTGGTTTATACTGGTTTTTCCCCAGCTGGACGTGCAGATCATCGTGCAGGGCGCCCCCCGGCACTGGTTTATACTGGTTTATACTGGTATATACCCCCATGTATCATTGCCATATATGACCATATATTACTGTATATTGCTGTATACTGGTCTATACTGGTTCATACTGGTTTATACTGGTTTATACTGGTTTTTACTGGTTTCTCCCCAGCTGGACGTGCAGATCATCGTGCAGGGCGCCCCCCGGCACGGCGGCCGCCCCCTGGCCGCGTACCTGCAGTACCTGGAGCACCTGGGCCAGCACCGGCCCCCCCCCTCGGCCTACGAGCTCTACGCCCGCGGCTACGAGGATTACCTGCAGAGCCCGCTCCAGGTGAGCTCCCAGTTCATCCCAGTATAAACCAGTAACCCCCCAGTGACCCCCCTGTGACCTCCCAGTACAGCCCAGTAACTCCCAGTAACCAGAAACCCCAAACCAGTAACTTCCAGTAAGGGAAATCCCCAAACCAGTAACTCCCAGTAAGGGAAAACCCCAAACCAGTAACTCCCAGTGACCCCAAACCCCCTCCCAGTTCATCCCAGTTCATCCCAGTATAAACCAGTAACCCCAGAGTCCATCCCAGTACAAACCAGTAACAAAAAACCCCAAACCAGTACAAACCAGTAAGGGAAAACCCTGAACCAGTAACTCCCAGTAAGGGAAAACCCATTCCCAGTTCATCCCAGTGACCCCAAAATCCCCTCCCAGTTCATCCCAGTATAAACCAGTAACCAAAAACCCCAAACCAGTAACCAAAAACCCCAAACCAGTAACCAAAAACCCCAAACCAGTAACTCCCAGTAACCCCAAATCCCCTCCCAGTTCATCCCAGTCCATCCCAGTATAAACCAGTAACCCCAGAGCCCATCCCAGTACAAACCAGTAACCCCAGAGCCCATCCCAGTACAGCCCAGTAACCAAAAACCCCAAACCAGAAACCAGAAACCCCAAACCAGTAACTCCCAGTAACGAGGATTACCTGCAGAGCCCCCTCCAGGTGAGACCAGTTCATCCCAGTATAAACCAGTAACCCACTGGGAACCTCCCAGTAACCTCCCAGTATAGCCCAGTAACTCCCAGTAACCAAAAACCCCAAACCAGTAAGTCCCAGTAAGCAAAAACCCCAAACCAGTAACTCCCAGTAACCCCAAATCCCCTCCCAGTCCATCCCAGTACAAACCAGTAACCCCTGAGCCCATCCCAGTATAAACCAGTAACCAAAAACCCCAAACCAGTAACCAAAACCCCAAACCAGTAACTCCCAGTAACCAAAAACCCCAAACCAGTAACCACAAACCCCAAACCAGTAACTCCCAGTAACCCCAAAATCCCCTCCCAGTTCATCCCAGTCCATCCCAGTTTGGTCCCAGTTCATCCTAGTCCATCCCAGTACAAACCAGTAACCTCAGAACCCATCCCAGTATAAACCAGTAACCAAAAACCCCAAACCAGTAACCAAAACCCCAAACCAGTAACTCCCAGTAACCCCAAAATCCCCTCCCAGTTCATCCCAGTCCGTCCCAGTATAAACCAGTAAAAGAAAACCCCAAACCAGTACAAACCAGTAACTAAAACCCCAAACCAGTTACCAAAACCCCCAAACCAGTAACCAAAACCCCAAACCAGTAACTCCCAGTAACGAGGATTACCTGCAGAGCCCGCTCCAGGTGAGCTCCCAGTTCATCCCAGTATAAACCAGTAACCCACTGGGAACCCCCCAGTAACATCCCAGTACAGCCCAGTAACTCCCAGTAACAAAAAACCCCAAACCAGTAACTTCCAGTAAGGGAAATCCCCAAACCAGTACAAACCAGTAAGGGAAAACTCATTCCCAGTTCATCCCAGTGACCCCAAAATCCCCTCCCAGTTCATCCCAGTCCATCCCAGTATAAACCAGTAACCCCAGAGCCCATCCCAGTATAAACCAGTAACCAAAAACCCCAAACCAGTAACTCCCAGTAACGAGGATTACCTGCAGAGCCCGCTCCAGGTGAGACCAGTTCATCCCAGTATAAACCAGTAACCCACTGGGAACCTCCCAGTACAGCCCAGTAACTCCCAGTAACCAAAAACCCCAAACCAGTAACTCCCAGTAAGGGAAATCCCCAAACCAGTAACTCCCAGTAACGAGGATTACCTGCAGAGCCCGCTCCAGGTGAGCTCCCAGTTCATCCCAGTATAAACCAGTAACCCCCCAGTGACCTCCCAGTAACCTCCCAGTACAGCCCAGTAACCGAAAACCCCAAACCAGTAACAAAAATCCCCAAACCAGTAACTCCCAGTAACCAAAAACCCCAAACCAGTAACTCCCAGTAACCCCAAAATCCCCTCCCAGTTCATCCCAGTTCATCCCAGTATAAACCAGTAACCCCAGAGCCCATCCCAGTATAAACCAGTAACCAAAAACCCCAAACCAGTAACTCCCAGTAACCAAAAACCCCAAACCAGTAACCAAAAACCCCAAACCAGTAACAAAAACCCCAAACCAGTAACTCCCAGTAACGAGGATTACCTGCAGAGCCCGCTCCAGGTGAGCTCCCAGTTCATCCCAGTATAAACCAGTAACCCCCCAGTGACCTCCCAGTAACGTCCCAGTAACCTCCAGTACAGCCCAGTAACCAAAAACCCCAAACCAGTAACCAAAAACCCCAAACCAGTAACCCCAAAATCCCCTCCCAGTTCATCCCAGTCCATCCCAGTTTGGTCCCAGTCCATCCCAGTACAAACCAGTAACCCCAGAGCCCATCCCAGTACAAACCAGTAACCAAAAACCCCAAACCAGTAACTCCCAGTAACCAAAAACCCCAAACCAGTAACAAAAAATCCCAAACCAGTAACTCCCAGTAAGGGAAAACTCATTCCCAGTTCATCCCAGTATAAACCAGTAACCCCAGAGCCCATCCCAGTATAAACCAGTAACCAAAAACCCCAAACCAGTACAAACCAGTAAGGGAAAACCCCAAACCAGTAACTCCCAGTAACCAAAAACCCCAAACCAGTAACCAAAAACCCCAAACCAGTAACTCCCAGTAACCCCAAAATCCCCTCCCAGTTCATCCCAGTTCATCCCAGTACAAACCAGTAACCCCAAACCCCCTCCCAGTACAAACCAGTTTGGTCCCAGTTCATCCCAGGTGGATTTTGGGTCAATTTTTGGATGAATTTTTGATGAATTTTGAGTCAATTTTTTCTGAATTTTTGGTGAATTTTTGTCAATTTTTGGGTGAATTTTTGTGAATTTTGGGTCAATTTTTGGGTGAATTTTGGGTCAATTTTGGGTCAATTTTTTTGTGACTTTTCAGTGAATTTTGGGTCAATTTTTTGTGATTTTTTTGTCGATTTTGGATCAATTTTTTGTGAATTTTGGGTCAATTTTTTGTGGTTTTTAATGTAAATTTTCTGTGAATTTTGGGTCAATTTTTTTGTGATTTTTTTGTAAATTTTGGGTGAATTTTGAGTCAATTTTTTGGTGAATTTTGTGTGAATTTTGGGTCAATTTTTTGGTGAATTTTTGATTAATTTTGGGTCAATTTTTTGTGGTTTTTTTTTGTAAACTTTGGGTCAATTTTGTGTGAATTTTGGGTCAATTTTTTGTGATTTTTTTGTAAATTTTGGGTCAATTTTTTGTAAATTTTGGGTCAATTTTCGGTGAATTTTGTGTTGAATTTTGAATTCATTTTTCTGTAAATTTTGGGTTGAATTTTGGGTTAAATTTGTGGGATTTTGGGCCAATTTCAGCCGCTGATGGACAATTTGGAGTCGCAGACGTACGAGGTCTTCGAGAAGGATCCAATCAAATACTGCCAATACCAGCAGGTACCGCCTCATTTGCATCTCATTTGCATAAACAAAACCCTCCTTTTCCCATGATCCCATCAAATACTGCCAGAACCAACAGGTGCCTCATTTGCATCTCATTTGCATAACCAAACCCTCCTATCCCCATGTTCCCATCAAATACTGCCAGTACCAGCAGGTATCGCCTCATTTGCATCTCATTTGCATACCCAAACCCTCCTTCCCCCATGTACTGCCAGTGCCAGCAGGTACCGCCTCATTTGCATCTCATTTGCATACCCAAACCCTCCTTCCCCCATGTACTGCCAGTACCAGCACGTACCGCCTCATTTGCATCTCATTTGCATACCCAAACTCTCCCTTCCCCATGATCCCATCAAATACTGCCAGTACCAGCAGGTACTGCCTCATTTGCATCTCATTTGCATAACTACCCCCTCCTTTCCCCATGTACTGCCAGTACCAGCAGGTGTGGCCTCATTTGCATCTCATTTGCATAACCACCCCCTCCTTTCCCCATGTATTGCCAGTGCCAGCAGGTACTGCCTCATTTGCATCTCATTTGCATAACCATCAGCTCCTTCCCCCATGTATTGCCAGTGCAAGCAGGTACCGCCTCATTTGCATCTCATTTGCATAGCTACCCCCTCCTTTCCTCATGAGCCCATCAAGTACTGCCAGAACCAACAGGTGCCTCATTTGCATCTCATTTGCATAAACAAACCCTCCTTCTCCCTTGTACTACCAGTACCAGCAGGTACCGCCTCATTTGCATCTCATTTGCATAACCAACCCCTCCTTTCCCCATGATCCCATCAAGTACTGTCAGTGCCAGCAGGTGCGGCCTCATTTGCATCTCATTTGCATAACCAATCCCTCCTTTTCCCATGAGCCTATCAAGTACTGCCAGTACCAGCTGGCACCTCATTTGCATCTAATTTGCATAAACAAGCCCTCCTTCCCCCATGATCCCATCAAGTACTGCAAATACCAGCAGGAACCACCTCATTTGCATCTCATTTGCATAGCCAACCCCCTCCTTTGCCCTCATTTCTCCATCTCTTTTAACCCTTATTTGCATATTCAGAGCCAATTTGCATGGCCACGCCTTTCCGCCGCCTTCCATGTTGTTTGAACCAACTCTCCCTTAATTGCATTAATTAATCACTGAATTATGCAAATTAACCAGTGACATTTATAGCTAACGGAGTGGTTGGCATACATTAATCCTTCATTTGCATAACTTATTTAGGAATTTGCATCAATTAATCCGTGACTTACATGGATTAATCAGTGATTAGCATAAATTAATCAACGATTCACATAAATTAGCGATTTGCATGGCTTAATTAGCTATTTGCATAATTTAATTGGCTTGCATGTATTACTTGGTATTTTGCATAAATCAATTGTTGATTTGCCTGGCTTTATTTATAATGCACATTAATTAGCACTAATTTGCATAAAGAGCCCTAATTGCAATCTGGTGACATTTTCCATCTGCATATTAATTAGTTTACCTGCTTTATAATTACCTCATTTGCATTGAAGTGTTTTATTTATTCTGGTGTGGTCTTAATTTGCATAAAAGCACATAATTTGCATAAAACTGACATAAATACCATCTACAATTCCTAATTTGCATAATACCACCTTTCTTTTGGGGCTATTTAAGCTACTTATAGATCTAATTTGCATAAAAGCACTTCTAATTTGCATGTAGGTGTCCCTCATTTGCATACACAGGTTTTTCATTTGCATAATATGGCCGGGATAGGTTTTGTTGCTTTCCTAATTTGCATAACCACACCCCAATTAACACTTCCAGGTGGGGGTGGGGGTGTTGGTGTGTTGCCACGCCCCTCATTTGCATAAATTTGCATAATCTCCCCAGGCCATCTTCAAGTGCCTCACGGACCGAGTGCCCGAGGAGGAGCGAGAGACCAACGTGCAGTGAGTGCCCCAAAAACACCGAATTTCACCCCAAAATTTACCCACAAAAATCCCAAAATTCACCCCAAAATTTATCCCAAAATTCACCCTAAAAACCAGCCAAAAATCCCAAAATTCACCCCAAATTTATCCCAAAATTCAGCCCAAAAATCAGCCAAAATTCACCCAAAATTCACCCCAAAATTTACCCAAATTCACCCCAAAAAATCACAAAATTCACCCCAAAATTTACCCCAAAATTCAGCCCAAAAAACCCCAAATTCACCCCAAAATTCAGCCCAAAATTCACCCCAAATTTATCCGAAAATCACCCCAAATTCAGCCCAAAATTCAGCCCAAAATTTACCCCAAAATTCACCCCAAAATTTATCCCAAAATTCACCCAAAATTCAGTCAAAATTTATCCCAAATTCACCCCAAATTCACCCCAAAATTTATCCCAAAATTCACCTCAAATTCATCCCAAAATTCAGCCTAAATTCACCCCAAATTTACCCCAAATTCACCCCAAAATTCAGCCCAAAACTTACCCAAAATTTATCACAAATTAACCCCAAATTCAGCCCAAAATACCCCAAAATTCATCCCAAAATCACCCAAAAATTCACCCCAAAAAAACCCAAAATTCAGCCCAAAAATCCCAAAATTCACCCCAAAATTCACCCCAAAATTCACCCAAACTCTCCCAAATTTATCCCAAAATTCAGCCCAAAATTCAGCCCAAAATTCACCCCACAATTTACCCAAAAAACCCCAAAATTCAGCCCAAATTCAGCCAAAATTCACCCCAAAAATCAGCCAAAAATGCCAAAATTCACCCCAAAAATCAGTGATTTTTCCCAATTTTGGGGTGAATTTTCCCGATTTTGGTGTTTTTTCCCCCAATTTAGGGTGGTGATGGTTTTGGGGTCTGGGCGGTCTCAAGGAGATTTTGGGTTAAATTTTTGGGATTTTGGGTATTTTTTGAGTATTTTTTTGGGTATTTTTTTTGGGTTTTTTTGTGGGATTTTGGGGTTTTGGGGTGAATTTTCCCAATTTTGGGGTTTTTTTGCCACAATTTTAGGGTGGTGATGGTATTGGGCGCCACACTCGGGGTGATTTTGGGCTGAATTTTGGTGTATTTTGGGGTATTTTTTTGGGTTTTTTTGTGGGATTTTGGGGATTTTGGGGTTTTTTGGGTGAATTTTCCCAATTTTGGGGTGAATTTTCCCAATTTTGGGGTTTTTTCACCCAATTTGGGGTAATGATGGTTTTGGGGGCCGCCGTGCTCGGGGCGATTTTGGGTTAAATTTGGGGGATTTTGGGTTAAATTTTTGGGTTTTTTGGGGTTATTTTTGGTGATTTTTGAGTGCTGAAGCTGATTTTGGGGTGAATTTTCCCAATTTTGGGTTTTTTTTCCCCATTTTAGGGTGGTGATGGTTTTGGGGGCTGGGCGGTCTCGGGTTGATTTTGGGGTGAATTTGGGGAATTTTGGGGTAAATTTGGGGATTTTGGGTTAAATTTTTGGGTTTTTTGGGGTAAATTTTGGGGTTTTTGGGGTGAATTTGGGGTTTTTGGGGTGAATTTTCCCAATTTTGGGTTTTTTTGCCCCAATTTAGGGTGGTGATGGTTTTGGGGTCTGGGCGGTCTCAGGGAGATTTTGGGTTAAATTTTGGGGATTTTGGGGTGAATTTGGGGGGAGTTTTTGGTTTTTTTCGGGTTCTTTTGGGGGATTTTGGGGTTTTTTGGGGTGAATTTTCCCGATTTTGGGGTGAATTTTCCCGATTTTGGGGTGAATTTTCCCGATTTTGGGGTTTTTAGGGTAATGATGATTTCGGGGTCCGGGCGGGCTCGGAGGGATTTTGGGGTGAATTTGGGGGATTTTGGGGTTAATCTTGGGGTTTTTTTTGGGTTTTTTTGGGTTATATTTGGTGATTTTTGGGTGCCGAATCCGATTTTGGGGTGAATTTTCCCGATTTTGGGTTTTTTTGCCCCAATTCAGGGTGGTGATGGTTTTGGGGGCCGGGCGGGGCCCCATGTTGGGCGCCACACTTGGGCCGATTTTTGGGTGAATTTTGGTGCATTTTTGGGTATTTTTTTGGGTTTTTTTCGGGTTCTTTTGGGGGATTTTGGGGTTTTTGGGGTGAATTTTCCCAATTTTGGGGTGAATTTTCCCAATTTTGGGTTTTTTTCCCCCAATTTAGGGTGGTGATGATTTTGGGGGCGCCGTGCTCGGGGAGATTTTGGGTTGAATTTTGGGGGTTTTTTGGGTGAATTTGGGTGAATTTCGGGGTTTTTGAGGGCACTGAAGCTGATTTTGGGGTGAATTTTCCCGATTTTGGGGTTTTTAGGGTGATGATGGTTTTGGGGTCCGGGTGGGCTCGGGGGGATTTTGGGTTAAATTTGGGGGATTTTGGGGTGAATTTGGGGTGATTTTTGGGTATTTTTTTGGGTTTTTTGTGGGATTTTTGTGGTTTTGGGGTGAATTTTCCTGATTTTGGGTTTTTTTGCCCCAATTTTAGGGTGGTGATGGTTTTGGGGGCCGGACGGGGCCCCCTGGTGGCCGCCGCGCTCGGGGCAATTTTTGGGTGTATTTGGGGGAATTTTTTGGGTATTTTTTTGGTTTTTTTCGGGTTTTTTTTGCGTTTTTTTTGGGATTTTCGTTTTTTTTGGGTGAATTTTCCCAATTTTGGGTTTTTTTGCCCCAATTTAGGGTGGTGATGGTTTTGGGGGCCGGGCGGGGCCCCGTGTTGGGCGCCACACTCGGGGCAATTTTTGGGGTGAATTTTGGTGTATTTTTGGCTATTTTTTTGGGTTTTTTTGTGGGATTTTGGGTTTTTTTGGGTGAATTTTCCCAATTTTGGGTTTTTTTGCCCCAATTTAGGGTGGTGATGGTTTTGGGGGCCGGACGGGGCCCCGTGTTGGGCGCCACACTCGGGGCGATTTTTGGGGTGAATTTTGGGGGATTTTTGGGTATTTTTTTGGGGTTTTTGGGGGATTTTAGGATGAATTTTCCCAATTTTGCTGGTTTTTCCCCCAATTTAGGGTGGTGATGGTCCTGGGGGCCGGACGGGGCCCCGTGTTGGGCGCCACACTCGGGGCGATTTTGGGGTGAATTTTGGGGTATTTTTGGGTATTTTTTGGGGTTTTTTTGTGGGATTTTGGGGGTTTTGGGGTGAATTTTCCCAATTTTGGGGTGAATTTTCCTGATTTTGGGTTTTTTTCACCCAATTTAGGGTGGTGATGGTTTTGGGGTCCGGGCAGTCTCAGGGAGATTTTGGGGTGAATTTGGGTTTTTTGGGGGATTTTTGGGGTAAATTTTGGGTTATTTTTGGTGATTTTTGGGTGCCAAAGCTGATTTTGAGGTGAATTTTCCCAATTTTGCTGGTTTTTGCCCCAATTTTAGGGTGGTGATGGTTTTGGGGGCCGGGCGGGGCCCCGTGTTGGGCGCCACACTCGGGGCGATTTTGGGGTGAAATTGGGGGTATTTTTTTGGTTTTTTTCAGGTTTTTTTTGGGGATTTTGGGTTTTTGGGGTCAATTTTCCCGATTTTGGGTTTTTTTGCCCCAATTTAGGGTGGTGATGGTTCTGGGGGCCGGGCGGGGTCCCCTGGTGGCCGCCGCGCTCCGCGCCGCTCGCCAGGCCGGCGCCCGCCTGCGCCTCTACGCCGTGGAGAAGAACCCCAACGCCGTGGTCACGTGAGTGCGATCAATAACCCATCGGTGACCCATCGATAACCCATCGATGACCGATTGATGCTGAGTGACGGCTCCTGAAAACCCCATAACCGATAACCGATCAATAGCTGATCAATAACCCATCGATACTGAGCGATATGTCATAAAAACCCCATAACTGATAACCGATCAATAACCCATCGATAACCGATCGATGCTGAGCGATGGCTCATAAAAACCCCATAACTAATAACTGATCAATAATTAATCAATAACCGATTGATATCTCATAAAAACTCCATAACTGATAACTGATCAATAACCCATCGATAACCGATCGATAACCAATTGATACTGATATCTCATAAAGACCCCCTAACCGATAACCAATCAATAACCGATCAATAACTGATCAATACTGAGCGATACGTCATAAAAACACCATAACCGATAACCAATCAATAACCGATCGGTACTGAGCGATATGTCATAAAACCCCCATAATCGATAACCCATCGATAACCGATCGATAACCGATCGATAACCGATCGATACTGAGCAATAGCTTGTAAAAACCCCATAACCGATAACCGATCAATAACCAATTGGTAACCCATTGATAGTGAGCAACGGCTCGTGAAAACCCCATAACCGATAACCGATCGATTACCGATCAATATCTCATAAAAATCTCATAACCAATAACTGATCAATAACCGATTGATAACCGATCAATACTGGTCGATACTGAGCAGTATCTCATAAAAACTCCATAGCTGATAACCAATCAATAACCAATCGATAATTGATCAATACTGATCGATATCGCATAAAAACCCCATAACCGATAACCCATCGATAACCAATCCATAACCAATCAATAACTGAGTGATACCTCAGTAAAACCCCATAACTGATAACCGATCAATAACTGAGCGATAGCTCATAAAAACCCGATAACTGATCAATAACTGATCCATCACTGATCGGTATCTCATAAAAACCCCATAACCGATCACCGATCCAGAACCGATCAATAACTGATCAATACTGATATAAATGTCATAAAAACCCCATAACCGATAACCGATCAATAACTGATAGATAACGGATCGATACTGAGCGACAGCTTGTAAAAACCCCATAACTGATAACCGATCAATAACCAATTGATCAGGGGGTTATTAATGGCTGTTAATGTACTAATTAATGCTAATTAAGGACTGTTAGTGAATTTATTAAGACTAATTAAGAGTAATTAAGAGTGGAAAAGCAGCGGAGGGGGTGTTGGAGCTGATTATTGATCACCAATGCTTCATTGATCCCTTATCAGAATTAACTCTCAATTGATTGGGGGGTTATTAATGGTGATTAATGAACTAATGAATGCTAATTAAGGCTCTTAATGAGTTAAATAGTGCTAATTAAGGATAATTAAGAGTAAAAAAAGCGGCATAGGGGGAAGGGAGGCGGTTATTGATCACTGATGCTTTATTGATCCCTGTTTAGCATTAACTCTTAATTGATCAGGGGGTTATTAATGGCTGTTAATGAACACATTAAGGCTAATTAGGCTATTAACGAACAGATTAATGATAATTAGAGCTGTTAATTAACTAATTAATGCAAATTAGTGGTAATTAAGAGTGAGAAATACAGCAGGGAGGGATTGGAGCGGGTTATTGATCACCAATACTTTATTCATCCCTTATCGGAATGAATTCCTGATTGATTACAGCCGCTATTAATGGCTATTAATGTACTAAATAATGCTAATTAAGGCTGTTAACGAGCTAATTAATGCAAATTAAGGCTGTTAATTAGCTAATTTAAGGTAACTGAGAGTAGAAAAAGTGGCAGGAGGGTGTGGAGTGGGTTATTGATCACCAATACTTTACTACGAATTACCAAAACGCCATTTCCAAGGAGCGCAGGGGGGTTAATTACCATTAATGACAGCACTAATCAAGGCTAATTACTGTAATTAGGCTGGAGAACTGCCAGTGGGAGGAGTGGGGCTCGCAGGTGGCGGTGGTGGCGCGGGACATGCGGGGCTGGGCCGCCCCCGAGGCGGCGGATTTGGTGGTGTCGGAGCTGCTGGGCTCGTTCGGGGACAACGAGCTGAGCCCCGAGTGCCTGGACGGGGCACGGGGCTGTCTGAAAGGTGAAAATGGGGGGAAATTTGGGGTGAAAAGTGGGGAAATTGGGCAAAAAATATCGGGAAAAACAAGGAAAAAATGAGGGGGAAAATGGGGGAAAACGGAGAAAAAATGGTGTGAAAAATGGGGAAATTTAAGTGAAAAATGGGGAAAAATGGGATGAAAAATGCGGAAATTGGAGTGAAAAATGGGGTGAAAAATGGGGAAAAATGGGGTGAAAAATGGGGTGAAAATGGGGGGAAATAATGGGGGAAATGGGGAATAAATAATGGGGAAATAATGGGGGAAAATAAAGGAAAATGGGGGGAAAATAATGGGGAAAATATGGGGGAAATTGGGGTGAAAAATAGGGGAAAATGAGGGGGAAAATGGGGAGAATAGGAGGAAAAATGGGGAAAAATAATGGGGGAAAATGGGGGGAAATAATGGAAAAAATTGGAGGGAAAAATGGGGGAAAATGGGGTAAAACGGGGAAAAAATGGGGTGAAAAACGGGAAAAATTAGGGGGAGAAATGGGGGAAAAATGGGGAGATAATGGGGTGAAAACTGGGAGAAAATGAAAGAAAATGGGGGAAAATAATGGGGGGAAATTGGGGAAAATGGGGTGAAAAATGGGGAAATTGGGGAAAAATAATGGGGAAAATAATGGGGGAAAATGGGGAAAATAATGGGAAAATAATGGGGGAATTGGGGAAAAATAATGGGGAAAAACGGGGGAAAAATGGGGGAAATGGGGTGAAAATGGGGGGAAAATAATGGGGAAAATGGGGGGAAATAATGGGGGAATTATGGGGGAAATGGGGGGGAAAATAGGGGAAAAAATGGGGTGAAAAATGGGGTGAAAAATAAGGAAAAAATAGGGTAAAAATGGGGTGAAAATGGGGAAATTGGGGTGGAAAATGGGGAAAAGTAATGGGGAAAAAATGGGGAAATAATGGGGAAATAATGGGGGAAAAATAATGGGGAAAATGGATAAAAAATAATGGGGGAATTGGGCAAAAAATATGGGGGAAATATGGGGGAATTTGGGGGAAAAATGGGGAAAATGGGGAAAAAATAATGGGGGAAAAATGGGGGAAATAATGGGGAAATAATGGGGGAAAATGGGGGAAATAATGGGGAGAAATGAGCGAAAAATGGGAAAAATAATGGGGAAAATGGGGGAAAATAATGGGGGAATTGGGGGAAATAATGGGGAAATTATTGGGGTAAATAATGGGGGGAAAAATAGGGAAATCGGGCAAAAAAAAGGGGAAAATTGGGGGAAAAATGGGATTTTTTGTGGGGGTAAAATGGGATTTTTTGGGGGGATAAAAATGGGAATTTTGGGGGGTAAAAATGGGGTTTTTTGGGAATAAAAATAGGATTTTTGGGGGTGAAAAATGGGATTTTTTGGGGATAAAACCAGGATTTTTAGGGGAGAAAAATGGGATTTTTTGGAGATAAAAATGGGATTTTTGGTGGGAAAAATGGGATTTTTTGGGGTAAAAATCGGGTTTTTTGTGGATAGAAATGGGATTTTTTGGGGGTGAAAATGGGTTTTTTTGGGGTAAAAATGGGGTTTTTTTGGGGATAAAATTGGAATTTTTTGGGGATAAAACCAGGATTTTTGGAGAATAAAATATGATTCTTTGGGAATAAAAATATGATTTTTGTGGGGTGAAAAATGGGATTTTTTGGTGGGAAAAATGGGATTTTTTGGGGGGTGAAAAATGGGATTTTTGGGAATAAAAATATGATTATTTTGGGGATAAAAATGCAATTTTTTTGGGGATAAAAAGTGATTTTTTGGGAATAAAAGTGGGATTTTTTTGGGGATAAAAATGGGATTTTTTTTGGGGTGAAAAAAGGGATTTTTTTGGGGGATAAAAATGGGATTTTTGGGGTAAAAATGGGATTTTTAGGGGATAAAAATTGGATTTTTGGGGATAAAAATGGGATTTTTGGGGGACAAAATAGGATTTTTAGGGGATAAAAATAGGATTTTTGGAGATAAAAATTGGATTTTTTGGGGTGAAAAATGGGATTTTTTTGGGGATAAATTTGGATTATTTTGGGGAAAAAATTGGATTTTTTGAGGATAAATTGGAAATTTTTTGGGGGATAAAATTTGGATTTTTTGGGGATAAATTGGAATTTTTTGGTGGGAAAAATATGATTTTTTGGGGTAAAAAATGGGATTTTTTGGAGTTGGGTTTAGGGAAATTTGGGATGTCCGAAAACACCAAAATTTGTATTTTTTGGGTTTTTTTTGTGTTTCAGAGGACGGAGTTTCCATCCCCCAATCGTACACCTCATTCCTGGCGCCCGTCTCCTCCTCCAAACTCTACAACGAGGTCAGAGGGTGTCGGGAGCATGATCGACACCCAGAGGTGAGAATTGGGGTAAAAAATGGGGATTTTGGGAAAAAATGGGGAAAAATGTGAAAAAAACGGGAAAAAAATGTCAAAAATTGGGAAAAATTAAAGAAAAAATGGGGAAAAATGGATAAAAATGAGAATAAAAAATGGGGAAAAGAGGTCAGGGGGTGTTGTGAGCATGAGCGGCACCCTGAGGTGAGAAATGGGGTAAAAAATGGGGATTTTGGGAAAAAACGGGGAAAAATGTGAAAAAATGCGGAAAAATGTGAAAAAATGCGGAAAATGGGGGAAAAACAGGAAAAATTGGGGAAAAATGGGGGAAAATGGGGGAAAAATGAGGAAAAAATGAAAAAAAAATGGGGAAAAAATTGAGACATTTTGGGAAACTTTTTGGACAATTTTTAAGAGATTTTGGGATTTTGGGGGGATTTTTGGCGAATTTTTGGGGGATTTTTTTGGAATTTTGGGGGGATTTTCAGGACTATTTTGGAGAATTTTTGCAGGATTTTTTGAGGGGCTTTTTTTTGGGATTTTGGGTGAATTTTTGAGGGAGTTTTTGGGGGATTTCGGGGGAATTTTTGGGGATTTTTTGGGAATATTTGGGGGGATTTTCGGGAATATTTTGTGGCATTTTTGCGGGTTTTTTATGGGGATGTTCTGGGGGATTTTTGGGAATTTTTTGGGGGAGATTTTTGGGATTTTTTGGGGGAGATTTTTGGGAATTTTTCGGAGTTTTTGGGGGGATTTTTGGGACTTTTTGGGGGGATTTTGGGGGATTTTTTGGGAATTTTCAGGAATTTTGAGGATTTTGAGGTGATTTTTAGGGAACTTTGGGGGGATTTTAGGGAAATTTTTTGAGAATTTTTTTGGGAATTTTGGGGGGATTTTTTAGGAATATTCGGGGCGATTTTTCGGGAATATTTTGGAGATTTTTTGCAGGACTTCTTAGGGAATTTTTTGGGATTCTTTGGGAATATTTTGGGAATTTTTGGGAATATTCGGGAGGGATTTTCGGGAATATTTTGGAGAATTTTTGCGGGATTTTTTGCGGGATTTTGGGCGAATTTTGGGGCATTTTTTGGGAACTTTGGGGGGATTTTCGGGAATATTTTGGGAATTTTTGGGAATTTCACAGGCGCAGTTTGAGACCCCGTACGTGGTGAGGCTGCACAACTTCCACCAGGTGGCGCCGCCCCAGCCCTGCTTCACCTTCCAGCACCCCAATCCCGGTGAGAAATTCCCAAAAAAAACCCCAAAATCCCGGAAAAAACACCCAAAATTCCGGCAAAATATCGGGGAAAGTTTCAGGGAAAATATCCTGAAAATTTCAGGAAAAACGGACCAAAAATTCCAGGGAAAATCAGCCAAAAATTCAGGAGAAATGGGAAAAAAGTGAGGAAAAAAATGAAAAAATTAAGATAAAAATGAAGAAAAAATTCCGGGAAAAATCCGTGAGAATTCTGGGAAAAACAGCAAAATAGAATAAAAAAATTAGTTTATTTTAGAAAAAAAGCGTTAAAAATACAGGGCAAAAATCAGGAAAAAAATCCAAAAAAGTCAGGGAAAAAAATAATCAGGAAAAAGAATCTCAAAAAATCAGGGAAAAATTAAAAAAAAATCAGAAATAATTAGGAAAAAATTCTGAAAGATCAGGAAATAATCCTAAAAAAATACAGAAAAAAACCTCCCAGAAAATCAAAGAAAAATCTGAAAAAATCAGGGGAAAAATCCCCAAAAATGAGGAAAAACATCCCAAAAAATTAAGAAAAAAAAAAAACAAGGGAAAATCTCAGAAAACTAGGAAATAATGCTGAAAAATCCCCAAAAAAGCAGGAAAAAATGCTCAAAAAAACAGGAAAAATCAGAAAAACAATCTGGGAAAAATGTTCAAAAAGTCAGCAAAAAATCAGAAAAAATCTAGGGAAAATCCCCAAAAATTCAGAAAAAAATCAGGGAAAAACCCAAAAAAATCAGGAAATAGTCCTCCAAAAATCAGAAAAAAAACTCAAAACAATTAGGAAAAAAATGTTCAAAAAATCAAGAAAAAATTTTTTAAAAATTAGAAAAATATCGGAAAAAAAATCAGAAAAAATCCCCAAAATCCCAAAATCTTTTAAAAATTAGACAAAAAATCCATTAAAAAATCAGGAGAAAATTCTCCAAAAGTAAAAACAAAATTCCAAAAAATCAAAGGAAAATCCCAAAAAATCAGGAAAAATCAGGAAAAAAATCCCAAAAAAATCAGGAAAAAAATAAAAAAAAATCACAAAAAATTAGGGAATAATGCTGAACAATCCCCCAAAAAATCAAGAAAAAATGCTAAAAAAATCAAGAAAAAATCAGAAAAAAATACTAAAAAATCCAAACAAAACCTTAAAAAAATCAGAAAAAAACCCGAAAAATGCCCAAAATCAAAAATTAATTTTTGGTAATTTTTTTTCCTGGGATAAATGTTGGAATTTTGGGAATTTTGCAGACCCGTGCCCGGACAACAGCCGCTACACGGAGCTCTCGTGGCGGGTGGAGGTCGGCACCGTCCTGCACGGCTTCGCCGGATACTTCGAGACGCGGCTCTACGGCGACGTCACCCTCAGTGAGCCAATGGGGAAATAAAAGAAATTTGGGGAAAAAAATGAAAAAATTTGGGGAAAAAATAAAAAAATTCGGGGAAAAAACGAAAAAAATGGGGCAAAAAAGGAGAAAAAATTGAAGAAAATAGAAGATATAAAAGAGAAAGGGGCGTGGCTTGTGGTTTGGGGGCGTGGCTTAAGTGGGTGTGGCTTTCCAGTGTAGCCAATTGGGAAATAGGAGAAATTTGGGGGAGAAACAAAAAAATTTGGGGAAAAAATGAAAAAATTTGGGCAAAAAATGAAAATATTGGGCAAAAAACGAGAAAAATAAGTAAAAAAATAGAGGAGAAAGGGGCGTGGCTTATGGTTGGGGGCGTGGCTTAAGTGGGTGTGGCTTTGGGGCGTGGCCAATGGGGAAATAAAAGAAATTTGGGGAAAAAATTTAAAAATTTGGGGAAAAAATGTAAAAAATTCGGCAAAAAACAAGAAAAAATGAGGGAAAATGGAGGATATAGAGGAGAAAGGGGCGTGGCTTATGGTTGGGGGCGTGGCTTAAGTGGGTGTGGCTTGGGGGCGTGGCATGGAGAGAAACAGACAAAATTTGGGGGCAAAACGAAAAAAATTTGGGAAAAACCAAAAAAATTGGGCAAAAAAATGGCAAAAAATGAGTAGAAATCACAAAAATGGAGGAGAAGGGGGCGTGGCTTAGGGTTGTGGGCGTGGCTTAAGTGGGTGTGGCTTTGGAGACGCGGCCAATTGGGAAATAGAAGAAATTTGGGGGGGGAAAATGGAAAAATTTGGGCAAAAATTTGGGGGAAAATGGAGAAATTTGGGGGAAAATGGGAATATTTGGAGATCTTTAGAAAATTTGGGGTTTTATGGGGAAAAAGAGAAAAAAATTGGGAATTTTTGGGAAATTTAGGAGGAAAATATGGAAAAATTTTGAAATTTTGGGGAAAATAAGGTAAAATCGGGAATTTAGGGGAAATTTAGGGGGGAAAAAGAAATTTGGGAATTTTGAGGAAATTTAAGGGGAAAACTGAAAAATTTGGGAATTTTGGAGAAATTTAGGGGTAAAAGGGAAGAATTGGGAATTTGGGGTAAATTTAGGGGAAAAACTGAAAAAATTGGGAATTTTAATCAAAGTTTTGGGGAAAACTGAAAAATTTGGGAATTTTGAGGAAATTTAGGGGGGAAAAAGGGAAGAATTGGGAATTTGGGGCAAAAGTTTTGGGGAAAATAAAGAAAAATTCGGGAATTTTGGGGAAATTTAAGGGGAAAACTGAAAAAAATGGGAATTTTGGGAAAAATTATGGGGGAAAAGGGAAAAATTGGGAATTTTTTGGAAAAATTTTGGGGGAAAAGGAAGAATTGGAAATTTTGGGCAAAATTTTTGGGAAAAAGGGAAAAATTTGGGCATTTTGAAGAAATTTAGGGGAAAATAAGGAAAAATTTGGGAATTTTGGGGTTATTTTGGGGGAAAAGGGAAAAATTGGGAATTTTTGGGAAAAATTTTGGGGGAAAAGGGAAAAATTGGGAATTTTGGGGAAAATTTTAGGGAGAAAGTGAAAAATTTGGGAATTTTGGTCCAAATTTTGGGGGGAAGGTGAAAAATTGGGGAATTTTGGGGTATTGGGGGAGGAATTTTGGGAATTTTTGGAGAATTTTGGGAATTGGGAAAAAATTAAAATTTTTGGGGATAAAAAGGGGGGAAATATGGAATTTTTGGGGGGAAAATGGGAATTTTAAGGTGAATTTTGGGGGAAAATTGGGAATTTTGGAGGGAAAAATGGGAATTGTGGAATTTTGGGGGATTGGGGGACGAATTTTGGGAATTTTTGGGAAAAAAAGAAAAAAATTGGGGATTCCAGGGAAATTTGAGTGGAAAAAAGGGAATAAATTGGGAATTTCAAGGAAATTTTTGGGAGGAAATTGGAAATTTGGGAATTTTTGGAAAATTTTGGGAAAAAATTGAGATTTTTGGGAAAAAAAGGGGGGGAAATTGGGAATTTTTTGGGGGGAAAATGGGAATTTTGAGGTGAATTTTTGGGGGAAAAAATGGGAATTTTGGGGTGAATTTTTGGGGGAAAATTGGGAATTTTTTTGTGGAAAAGGGGAAAATTGGGAATTTTTGGGGAAAAAATGGGAATTTTGAGGTGAATTTTGGGGGAAAAAATGGGAATTTTGAGGTGAATTTTTGGGGGAAAATTGGGAATTTTTGGGGGAAAAAATAGGAATTTTGAGGTGAATTTTGGGGGGAAATTTGGATTTTTGGGAGGAAAAAATGGGAATTTTGAGGTGAATTTTTGGGGAAAATTGGGAATTTTGGGACTCAGGATTGAGGAAAATTGGGAATTTTTGGGAATTTTCTAAATTTTTGGGAATTTTTGGGAATTTTTGGGAATTTTGGGAATTTTGGGAATTTCAGGTATCCGGCCCGAGACGCACTCGCCGGGACTCTTCTCGTGGTTCCCGATCTTCTTCCCCATCAAGGTGAGCCCAAAATGGGGTAAAAAAGGCCAAATTTGGGCAAAATTCCATGAAAATTTGGGAATTTCAAAAAAAAATTGGGAATTTAGGGAAAATTAGAGGAAAAAAATCAAAAAATTGGGGGAAATTCGGATCAAAATTGAGAATTTTGGGGGAAATTGGTTTTTAAAAAAATTAAAATTTTGGGTAAAATTCTGACAAAAATTGGGATTTTTAGGGGAAAATAAATGGAAAAATTAAAAATTTTAAAGGGAAAATTTTGGCAAAATTGGGAATTTTAAGGGAAATTATAAAAAATATAAAATGGGGGATTTGGAGTAAAAAATTGGAATTTTGGGAAAATTAAAAAAAAATTGGAGTTTCTAATGGAAATCGGGAATTTGGGGCAAAATTACAGAAAAATATGGAATTTAGGATAAAAATTGGGAATTTTGGGGGAAATTCCAACAAAAATTGGGAATTTGGGGGAAGATTTGGAATATTGGGGAAAATTTAAGGGAAATATTAAAAATTTTGGGGAAAATTCTGATCAAAATGGGGAATTTGGGGTAAAATTTTTTTTAATTGGGATTTTGGGGAAATGTCCAATAAAAATTGGGAATTTTTGGGGAAAAATTGGGAATTTTTGGGGAAAAATTGGGAATTTTGGGGAAAATTAAAGGGAAATATTCAAAATTTTGGGGAAATTCCAACAAAAATTAAGAATTTTTTGTAAAACGCAAAAAAAAAATTGGATTTTGGAAAAAAAATTCGGGAATTTGGAGAAAAATTGGGAATTTTGGGGAAAATTTATAAAACTCAGGAATTTTGGGGAAAACGCCAACAAAACCTTTGAATTCTGGGGGAAATTTTTTTAATTGGGAATTTTGGGAGAAAATATTTTAAAAATGAAATTTTTGGGTAAAATTTTAGAAAAAATTGGGTGGAAAAATTAATAAAAACGCGGAATTTTGGGAGAAAATTTTAATTAAAATTTTAAATTTTGGGTGAAATTCCAAAAAAAATTGGCCATTTTACAGAATATTAAAAAATTTAGGGGAAATTTTTTTAAATTTGGGGATTTTAAGGCAAATTTCACACAAAATTTTGAAATTTTGTGGAAAAGTTGAAAAATCCTGAAGAGTTCACGGCGGCCATTTTGTTTAATGGCGGCGGCCATTTTGTGGGTGTGGCCTTTCCTTGTGGGTGTGGCCATCCTGGTGGGCGTGGCCAATGTAAATGACCTTAGCTGCCATCTGGGTGGGCGTGGCTACGCAAATTAAAGCTGGCGGCCATCTTGGTGGGCGTGGCCAATGTAAATTGCCCCAGCTGCCATCTTGGTGGGCGTGACATATGTAAATTACCCAGGTGATCATCTTGGTGGGCGTGGCTACACAAATTAAATCAGGCGGCCATCTTGGTGGGCGTGGCCAAAATAAAAGAACGGCCATCTTGGATTTGATTGGCCATTTTTGTGGGCGTGGCCAACAGTAAAGAACGGCCATCTTGGATTTGATTGGCCATCTAGGTGGGCGTGGCCAACAGTAAGGAGCAGCCATCTTGGATTTAGGTGGACATATTAGTGGGCGTGGCTAAAAGGAACGGCCATCTTGGATTATGGTGGCCATCTTGGTGGGTGTGGTCAAAAAAACGGCCATCTTGGATTTGGGCGGCCATCTTGAAGAGTTGGCCAACAGCAAGTAGGCGGCCATTTTGGAAACTGGCAGCCATCTTGGTGGGTGTGGCCACACTAAATAAATCAGGCGGCCATATTGGTGGGTGTGGCCACTCCAAATCAACCTGGTGGCCATTTTGGTGAGGATGGCCAATCCAAATCAACCTGGTGGCCATCTTGGTGGGCGTGGCCACTCCAAATTGGCCAGGCAGCCATCTTGGTGGCATGACCACTCCAAATCAACCTGTCGGCCATCTTGGTGGGCGTGTCCACATTGAATAAATCAGGTGGCCATATTGGAACCTGGCGGCCATCTTGGTGGGTGTGGCCACTCCAAATCAGCCTGTCGGCCATATTGGTGGGCGTGGCCACTGTAAATTACCCTGGCAGCCATCTTGATGGGTGTGGCCAACAGTAGGTAGCGGCCATCTTGGAACCAGGCGGCCATCTTGGTGGGCGTGGCCACTCTAAATCGACCTGGCAGCCATCTTGGTGGGCGTGACCATTCAAATCGACCTGGCGGCCATCTTGGTGGGCGTAGCCAATCCAAATCAACCTGGCGGCCATTTTGTTGGGCGTGGCCACACTAAATAAATCAGGCAGCCATCTTGGAACAATAGTAAGTAGCGGCCATCTTGAAAGCTGGCGGCCATCTTGATGGGCGTGGGCACACTAAATTACCTTAGCAGCCATATTGGTGGGTGTGGCCAACAATAAATAGCGGCCATCTTGAAACCTGGTGGCCATCTTGGTGGGTGTGGCCAACAGCGAGTAGCGGCCATCTTGGAACCAGGCGGCCATCTTGGTAGCATGGTCGCTCCAAATCAACCTGGCGGCCATTTTGGTGGGGGTGGCCACTCCAAATCGACCTGGTGGCCATATTGGTGGGCGTGGCTACACTAATTAATTTAGGTGGACATATTGGTGGGCGTGGCCACTCCATATCAACCTGGTGGCCATATTTGTGGGCGTGGCCACTCCAAATCAACCTGGCGGCCATATTTGTGGGCGTGACCACTCCAAATCAACCTGGCGGCCATCTTGGTGGGCGTGGCCCCTCGATATCAACCTGTCGGCCATCTTGGTGAGTGTGGCCACCCTAAATTACCTTAGCAGCCATCTTGGTGGGCGTGACCACTCCAAATCGACCTGGCGGCCATCTTGGTGGGCGTGGCCAAAGGAAAAGCCATCTTGGATTTGGGTGGCCATTTTGTGGGTGTGGCCAACAGCAAGTAGGCGGCCATTTTGGAAACTGGCAGCCATCTTGGTGGGCGTGGCCACTTCAAATCGACCTGGTGGCCATCTTGGTGGGCGTGGCCACACTAAATTACCTTAGCAGCCATCTTGGAACAACAGGAAGTAGCGGCCATCTTGGAACCAGGCAGCCATCTTGGTGGGCGTGGCCAATCCAAATCAACCAGGCGGCCATCTTGGTGGGCGTGTCCACATTGAATAAATCAGGCAGCCATCTTGGTGGACGTGACCACTCCAAATCAACCTGGTGGCCATATTGGTGGGTGTGGCCAACTGTAAATTACCTTAGCAGCCATCTTGGTACAACAGCAACTAGCAGCCATCTTGGAACCAGGCAGCCATCTTGGTGGGTATGGCCACACTATTTAAATCAGGCGGCCATATTGGTGGGCGTGGCCACTCCAAATCAACCTGGCGGCCATCTTGGTGGGCGTGTCCACATTGAATAAATCAGGTGGCCATATTGGAACCTGGCGGCCATATTGGTGGGCATGGCCACTCGATATCAACCCGGCGGCCATCTTGGTGGGCGTGGCCAATCCAAATCAACCTGGTGGCCATATTGGTGGGTGTGGCCAATAGTAAGTTGCAGCCGTCTTGGAACCAGGCAGCCATCTTGGTGGGCGTGGCCACACTAAATAAATCAGGCGGCCATCTTGGAACAAGAGCAAGTAGCGGCCATCTTGGAACCTGGCGGCCATCTTGGTAGGCGTGGCCACTCCAAATCGACCTGGCGGCCATCTTGGTGGGCGTGGCCAATCCAAATCAACCTGGTGGCCATGTTGGTGGGCGTGGCCACTCCAAATCGACCTGGCGGCCATCTTGGTGGGCGTGGCCAAAAGAAAGGAACGGCCATCTCTGATTTGGGCGGCCATCTTGGTGGGTGTGGCTAACAGCAAGTAGTGGCCATCTTGGAACCCGGCGGCCATCTTGGTGGCATGGCCACAGTAATTAAATCTGGCGGCCATCTTGGTGGGCGTGTCCAGTCTGACCCCGCCCCTTTTCCCCCCCCCGCAGCAGCCGGTGCCGGTGCGGGCGGGGCAGGAAGTGTCGGTGGCGTTCTGGCGCGTGGCCACGCCCACAAAGGTCTGGTACGAGTGGGCGGTGACGGCGCCGGCGTGTTCGGCGCTGCACAACCCCACGGGGAGATCCTACACCATCGGGCTCTGAGGGACACACGGACGGATGGACACACGGATGGACGGAGAAATAAATGCTGGAAATGGAGATTGGATGGATCGTTCTTGGGGGGAAAATGGGGATTTTGGGAAAAAAAATGGGGGTTTTGGGAAAAGAAAAATGGGGGTTTTGGGGAAAATGGGGGTTTTGAATGGTTTTAGAGGGAAAAAATGGGAATTTGGAAAAAAAAATGGGGATTTTGGGAAAAAAAATGGGGGTCTTGGGGAAAAAAATGGAATTTTAGGAAAGGGAAATGGGGATTTTAGGGGAAAAATGGGCATTTATGGAAAATAAGGATTTTTAATGATTTTGGAGGAAAAAAATGGAGTTTTGAATGAGAAAATGGGAATTTTAGGGGGAAAATCAGGATTTTGGGGGGAAATAGGGAATTTTGGGGGGGAAAAAATGGGGATTTTTGGGGGGAAAAATGGGGATTGAAAATTATTTCAGAGGGGAAAAAAGAGAGTTTTGGAGGAGAAAATGGGAATTTTAGGAAAATGGGGATAAAAATGGAAATTTTTGGGGGGAAAATGGGGACTCTGAGGGAAAAATGGCGATTTTAGGGGGAAAATGGGGATTTGGGGAAAAAATGGGGATTTTGGGGGAAAAATGGGGATTTTGGGGGGAAGTGGGGGTTTAGGGGAGAAAAAATGGGGATTTTTGGGGGGGAAATGGGAATTTGTGGGAAAAGAAGATTTTCGGGAAAAAAAATGGGATTTTTGGGGGGAAAATGGGGATTTTGGGGGGAAATGGGGATTTCAGGAGGGAAATGTGGATTTTCGGGGGGAAAAGGGGATTTTTAATGGTTTTAGAGAGAAAAAATGGGAATTTGGAAAAAAAATGGGGATTTTGGGAAAAAAAATGGGGGTCTTGGGGAAAAAAAATGGAATTTTAGGAAAGGGAAAATGGGGATTTTGGGAAAAAAATGGGGATTTTTAATGGTTTTGGAGATAAAAAGGAATTTTGGATTAGAAAATGGGGATTTTAGGGGGGAAATGGGGATTTTGGGGAAAAAATGGGTTTTTGGAAAAAACAGGGATTTTAGGGGGGAAAAATGGGGGTTTTTGGGGAAAAAAATGGCAATTTTAGGGGGGAAAATGGGGATTTTGGGGGGAAATGGGATTTTAGGAAGGGGAAATGGGGGTTTGGGGAAAAATGGGGGTTTTGGGTGAAGAAATGGGGATTTTGAATGGTTTTAGAGGAAAAAAAGGGCGTTTTGGAGGAGAAAATGGGGATTTTAGAGGGAAAAAATGGGGATTTTTAAAGGTTTTAGAGGAAAAAAATGCACAACCCCACGGGGAGATCCTACACCATCGGGCTGTGACCCACGGACGGACCCACGGACGGACCCACGGACGGACCCACGGACGGACCCACGGATGGACCCACGGACGGACCCACGGACGGACCCACGGATGGACCCACGGATGGACCCACGGATGGACCCACGGATGGACCCACGGACGGACCCACGGATGGACCCACGGACGGACCCACGGATGGACCCACGGATGGACCCACGGACGGACCCACGGACGGACCCACGGATGGACCCACGGACGGACCCACGGATGGACCCACGGACGGACCCACGGACGGACCCACGGATGGACCCACGGACGGACCCACGGATGGACCCATGGATGGACCCACGGATGGACCCACGGATGGACCCACGGATGGACCCACGGATGGACCCACGGATGGACCCACGGACGGACCCACGGATGGACCCACGGATGGACCCACGGACGGAGAAATAAATGCTGGAAATGGAGATTGGATGGATCGTTCTTGGGGGGAAAATGGGGATTTGGGGAAAAATGGGGGTTTTGGGGGGAAAATGGGGGTTTTGGGGGGGAAAATTGGAATTTTGGGGGGGAAAAATTTGGATTTTTAATGGTTTTAGAGGAAAAAAAATGGAGTTTTGAATGAGAAAATGGGAATTTTAGAGGTGAAAATGGGGATTTTGGGAGAAAATAAGGGGGATTTTAGGAGAAAAATGGGAATTTTTAGGGAAAATGGGGATTTTAGGGGGAAAATGAAGATTTTTTGGGGGAAAAATTGGGAATTTTAGGGTGGGAAATGGGTGTTAGGGGGAAAAAATGGAAATGTTGGGGAAAAGGGATTTTGGGGAAAAAAATGGGGATTTGGGGGAAAAATGGGAATTTTGGGGGGAAAATGGGGATTTTAGGGAAAAAATGGGAATTTTGGGGGAAAAATGGGGATTTTAGAGGGGATAATGGGGATTTTGGAGGAGAAAATGGGGATTTTAGGGGGAAAATGGGGATTTTGGGGGGAAAATGGGGATTTGGGGGAAAAAATGGAAATTTTAGAGGCAAATTGGGGATTTAGGAGAGGAAATGGGAATTCTGGGGAAAAAATGGGGATTTTGGGGCAAAAAATGGGGATTTGGGGGAAAAAATGGAAATTTTAGAGGCAAATTGGGGATTTTGGGGGAAAAATGGAGATTTTAGGGGGAAAATGGGCATTTTGGGAGAAAAAATGGGAATTTAGGGGAGAAAATAGGGATTTTAGAGGGAAAAATGGGGGATTTTGGGGGGAAAAACAGAGATTTTGGGTGGAAAATGGGGGTTTTGGGGGGAAAAATGGGGATTTTGGGGGGAAAAATGGGGTTTTGGGGGGGAAATGGGGGTTTTGGGAAAAATGGGGGTTTTGGGTGAAGAAATGGGGATTTTGAATGGTTTTAGAGGAAAAAAAGGGAATTTTTGATGAGAAAATAGGAATTTTAGGGGGGAAAATTGAGATTTTTGGGAAAAAAATGAGGATGTGGGGGAAAAATGGGAGTTTTGGGGGGAAAATGGGAGTTTTGGGGGGAAAATGGGGATTTTAGGGGGAAAATGGGGATTTGAGGAAAAAAATGTGGAGTTTGAGAAAATGGAGATTTGGGGGGAAAATGGGGATTTTGGGGGGAAAATGGGAATTTTAAGGGGGATGTGGGAATTTGGGGGGAAAATGGGGATTTTAGAGGGAAAAATGGGGATTTTTTAAAAAATGGGGATTTTGGGGGGAAAAAATGGGGGTTTGAGGGGAAATGGGGATTTTGGAGGGAAAAAAGGGAATTTTGGAGGAGAAAATGGGGATTTTACAGGGGAAAATGAGGATTTTGGGGAAAAAATGGGAATTTTATGGAGACAATGGAAATTTTGGGGGAAAAATGGGGATTTGGGGGGAAAAATTAAGGATTTGAGGGAGGAAATGGGGATTTGGGGAAAAAAATGAGAATTTTAGGGGGAAGAATGGGAATTTTGAGGGGAAATGGGGATTTTGGGGCAAAAAATGGGGGTTTTGGGGGAAAATGGGGGTTTGGGGAAAATGGGATTTTGAGAGAAAAAATGGAGATTTTTAATGGTTTTAGAGGGAAAAAAAGGGAGTTTTGGAGGAGAAAATGGGGATTTTAGAGGGAAAAAATGGGGATTTTTAAAGGTTTTAGAGGAAAAAAATGGACAACCCCACGGGGAGATCCTACACCATCGGGCTGTGACCCACGGACGGACCCACGGATGGACCCACGGACGGACCCACGGACGGACCCACGGATGGACCCACGGACGGACCCACGGACGGACCCACGGATGGACCCACGGATGGACCCACGGATGGACCCACGGATGGACCCACGGATGGACCCACGGACGGACCCACGGATGGACCCACGGATGGACCCACGGACGGACCCACGGATGGACCCACGGACGGACCCACGGATGGACCCACGGATGGACCCACGGACGGACCCACGGATGGACCCACGGACGGACCCACGGATGGACCCACGGATGGACCCACGGACGGACCCACGGACGGACCCACGGATGGAGAAATAAATGCTGGAAATGGAGATTGGATGGATCGTTCTTGGGGGGAAATGGGGATTTTGGGAAAAATTCGGAATTTATGGGAGGAAATGGGGATTTTAGGGAGGAAAAGGGGGTTTTGGGGGGAAAAATGGGGATTTTGGGGGAAAAATGGGGATTTGGGGAAAAAATGGGGATTTTGAATAGTTTTGGAGGAGAAAATGGGGATCTTAGAGGTGAAAATGGGGATTTTGGGGGGGAAAATGGGGATTTTGGGAAAAAAATGGGGGTTTTGGGGAAAAAATGAAGATTTTTGGGGGGATAAATGGAAATTTTAGAGGGAAAATGGGGATTTTGGGGGGAAAAATGGGGATTTTGGGGGAAAAATGGGGATTTTTAATGATTTTGGAGGGAAAAAATGGGAATTTTGGATGAGAAAATGGGGATTTTAGGGGGATAATGGGGATTTTAGGGGAAAATTGGGATTTTAGGGGAAAAATGGGGATTTAGGGGGGAAAATGAAGATTTGGGGAGAAAAATGGGGATTTTAGGGGGGAAAATGGGGGTTTGGGGGGAAATGGGGATTTTGTGGGGAAAAATGGGGATTTTGGGGGAAAAAAATGGGGATTTTGGGGAAAAAATGGGAATTTTTGAGGAAAAATTAGGGATTTAGGGGAGGAGAAAATGGGGATTTTAGAGGGGAAAATGGGGATTTTTAAAGGTTTTAGAGGAAAAAAATGGACAACCCCACGGGGAGATCCTACAGCATCGGGCTGTGACCCACGGACGGACCCACGGACGGACCCACGGATGGACCCACGGACGGACCCACGGATGGACCCACGGACGGACCCACGGATGGACCCACGGACGGACCCACGGACGGACCCACGGACGGACCCACGGATGGACCCACGGATGGACCCACGGACGGACCCACGGACGGACCCACGGATGGACCCACGGATGGACCCACGGATGGACCCACGGATGGACCCACGGACGGACCCACGGATGGACCCACGGATGGACCCACGGATGGACCCACGGACGGACCCACGGATGGACCCACGGATGGACCCACGGATGGACCCACGGATGGACCCACGGACGGAGAAATAAATGCTGGAAATGGAGATTGGATGGATCGTTCTTGGGGGGAAAAATGGGGTTTTGGGAAAAATGGGGATTTGGGGAAAAAAATTGAGATTTTGGGGGGGAAAAATTTGGTTTTTTAGTGGTTTTAGAAGGGAAAAAAGAGAGTTTTGGAGGAGAAAATGGGAATTTTGGAGTAGAAAATGGTAATTTTAGGGGGGAAAATGGGGATAAAAATGGAAATTTTTTGGGGGAAAATGGGGATTTTGGGGGGGAAAAATGGAAATTTTAGAAGGAAAATGGGGATTTTGGGGAAAATTGGCATTTTGGGAGAAAAAATGGCAATTTTAAGGGGGATGTGGGAATTTGGAGGGAAAAAACGGAGTTTTGGAGTTGAAAATGGGGATTTTAAAGGGGAAATGGGGATTTTGGGGGAAAAATGGGGATTTTGGGGAAAAAATGGGGATTTTAGGGGGAAAAATGGGGATTTTGGGGGGAAAATGGGGATTTTGGGGAAAAAATGGAAATTTTTGAGGAAAAATTAGGGATTTAGGGGAGGAAATGGGAATTTTGGAGGAGAAAATGGGGATTTAGGGGAAAAAATGGGGTTTTAGGAAGGGGAAATGGGGATTTTGGGGGGAAAAATTGGGTTTTTGGGAAAAAAAATGGGGATTTTAGGAGAAAAATGGGAATTTTTAGGGAAAATGGGGATTTTAGGGAGAAAATGAAGATTTTTTGGGGAAAAATCGGGAATTTTAGGGTGGGAAATGGGTGTTAGGGGGAAAAAATGGGAATGTTGGGGAAAAGGGATTTTAGGGGGAAAAATGGGGATTTGGGGGGAAAATGGGGATTTTAGGGGGGAAAATGGGGATTTTGGGAAAAAAATGGGGGTTTTGGGGAAAAAATGAAGATTTTTGGGGGGATAAATGGAAATTTTAGAGGGAACATGGGGATTTTGGGGGAGGAAAATGGGGTTCTGAGGGAAAAATGGGGATTTTGGGGGAAAAATGGGGATTTTAGGGGAAAAAAATGGGGGTTTTGGGGGGAAATGGGGGTTTGGGGGGAAAAATGGGAATTTTGGAGGAGAAAATGGGGATTTTACAGGTGAAAATGGGGATTTGGGAAAAAAAACCGGGGGTTTTGGGGGAAAATTGGGGTTCTGAGGGAAAAATGGGGATTTTGGGGGCAAAAATGGGGATTTTTAATGATTTTGGAGAAAAAAAAGGAATTTTAGATGAGAAAATGGGGATTTTGGAGGAGAAAATGGGGATTTTGGGGGGGAAAATGAGATTTTGGGGGGCAAATGGGGGTTTTCGGGGGAAAATGGGGATTTTGAATGGTTTTAGAGGAAAAAAAGGGAGTTTTGGAGGAGAAAATGGGGATTTTAGAGGGAAAAAATGGGGATTTTTAAAGGTTTTAGAGGAAAAAAATGGACAACCCCACGGGGAGATCCTACACCATCGGGCTGTGACCCACGGACGGACCCACGGACGGACCCACGGATGGACCCACGGACGGACCCACGGATGGACCCACGGACGGACCCACGGACGGACCCACGGATGGACCCACGGACGGACCCACGGATGGACCCACGGACGGACCCACGGACGGACCCACGGACGGACCCACGGATGGACCCACGGACGGACCCACGGATGGACCCACGGACGGACCCACGGATGGACCCACGGACGGACCCACGGATGGACCCACGGACGGACCCACGGACGGACCCACGGATGGACCCACGGATGGACCCACGGACGGAGAAATAAATGCTGGAAATGGAGATTGGATGGATCGTTCTTGGGGGGAAAAATGGGGGTTTTGGGGAAAATGGGGGTTTTGGGGGGGAAAAGGGGGTTTTGGGGGGAAAAAAGGGAATTTTGGAGGAGAAAATGGCAATTTTAGGGGGGAAAATGGGGATAAAAATGGAAATTCTAGAGGGAAAATGGGGATTTTGGGAAAAAATGGGGATTTTGGGGGAAAAATGGGGTTTTGGGGGGAAAAATGGGGGTTTTGGGAAAAAAAATGGGGATTTTAGAGGGGAAAAATGGGGATTTTTAGTGGTTTTGGAGGGAAAAAAAGGGAGTTTTGGAGTTGAAAATGGGGATTTTGGGGGGAAAAATTGGGATTTTTGGGGGGAAAATGGGAATTTTGAGGAAAAATTAGGGATTTAGGGGAGGAAATGGGAATGTTGGGGAAAAATGGGGATTTTGGGAAAAAAAATGGGGGTTTTGGGGGGAAAAATGGGGATTTTAGAGGGAAAAATGGGGATTTTTAAAGGTTTTAGAGGAAAAAAATGGACAACCCCACGGGGAGATCCTACAGCATCGGGCTGTGACCCACGGACGGACCCACGGACGGACCCACGGACGGACCCACGGATGGACCCACGGATGGACCCACGGATGGACCCACGGACGGACCCACGGACGGACCCACGGATGGACCCACGGATGGACCCACGGATGGACCCACGGATGGACCCACGGATGGACCCACGGATGGACCCACGGATGGACCCACGGACGGACCCACGGACGGACCCACGGACGGACCCACGGATGGACCCACGGATGGACCCACGGACGGACCCACGGATGGACCCACGGACGGACCCACGGATGGACCCACGGACGGACCCACGGACGGACCCACGGACGGACCCACGGATGGACCCACGGATGGACCCACGGACGGACCCACGGACGGACCCACGGATGGACCCACGGACGGACCCACGGACGGACCCACGGACGGACCCACGGATGGACCCACGGACGGAGAAATAAATGCTGGAAATGGAGATTGGATGGATCGTTCTTGGGGGGAAAAATAGGGGTTTTGGGGAAAAAATGGGGGTTTTGGAGGGAAAAAAGGGATTTTGGGGGGAAAAATGGGGATTTTGGGGGGAAAAAAGGGAATTTTGGAGGAGAAAATGGTAATTTTAGGGGGGAAAATGGAGATAAAAATGGAAATTTTAGAGGGAAAATGGGGATTTTGGGGAAAAATTAGGGGTTTAGGAAAGGAAATGGGGATTTTGGGAAAAAATGGGGGTTTTGGGGAAAAAATGAGGATTTTAGGGGGAAAATGAAGATTTTTTGGGGGAAAAATTGGGAATTTTAGGGTGGGAAATGGGTGTTAGGGGGAAAAAATGGGAATGTTGGGGAAAAGGGATTTTGGGGAAAAAAATGGGAATTTGGGGGGAAAATGGGGATTTTAGGGAGAAAATAGTAATTTTAGGGGGGGAAATGGGGGTTCTGGGAAAAAAAATGGGGGTTTTGAGGGGAAAATGGGAATTTTTAGGGAAAAATGGGTTTTTTGGGGGGAAAATGGGGGTTTTGGGGAGAAAATGGGGATTTTGGGGGGAAAAATGGGGATTTTTAATGGTTTTAGAGGGAAAAAAAGGAATTTGGGAGAAAAAAATGGGGATTTTAGGGGGGGAAATGGGGATTTTGGGGAAAATAGGAATTTTAGGGGGAAAATGGGGATTTGGGAAAATTGGGATTTTTAATGATTTTGGAGGGAAAAAAAAGGGAATTTTGGATTATAAAATGGGGATTTTAGGGGGAAAAATGGGGATTTTGGGGGGAAAAATGGCGATTTTAGAGGGGAAAATGGAAATTTTTGAGGAAAAATTAGGGATTTAGGGGAGGAAATGGGAATTTTGGGGGGAAATGGGGGTTTGGGGAAAAATGGGGATTTTGGGTGAAGAAATGGGGATTTTGAATGGTTTTAGAGGAAAAAAAGGGAGTTTTGGAGGAGAAAATGGGGATTTTAGAGGGAAAAAAATGGGGATTTTTAAAGGTTTTAGAGGAAAAAAATGGACAACCCCACGGGGAGATCCTACACCATCGGGCTGTGACCCACGGATGGACCCACGGACGGACCCACGGACGGACCCACGGACGGACCCACGGACGGACCCACGGATGGACCCACGGACGGACCCACGGACGGACCCACGGATGGACCCACGGACGGACCCACGGACGGACCCACGGACGGACCCACGGATGGACCCACGGATGGACCCACGGACGGACCCACGGATGGACCCACGGATGGACCCACGGACGGACCCACGGACGGACCCACGGACGGACCCACGGACGGACCCACGGATGGACCCACGGATGGACCCACGGATGGACCCATGGATGGACCCACGGATGGACCCACGGATGGATGGAGAAATAAATGCTGGAAATGGAGATTGGATGGATCGTTCTTGGGGGGAAAATGGGGGTTTTGGGGAAAAATGGGGATTTGGGGAAGAAATGGGGATTTTGGGGAAAAAAATGGGGGTTTTGGGGAAAAAAATGGGGATTTTTAATGGTTTTAGAGAGAAAAAATGGGAATTTGGAAAAAAAAATGGGGATTTTGGGAAAAAAATTGGAATTTTGGGGGGGAAAATTCGGATTTTTAATGGTTTTAGAGGGGAAAAAATAGAGTTTTGGAGGAGAAAATGGGGATTTTGGGGGGGAAATGGGGATTTTGGGGTAAAAATTGGGATTTTTGGGAGGAAAATGGGGATTTTGGGGAAATGGGGGTTTTGGGGGGGAAATGGGGAAATTAGGGGGAAAATGGGGATTTTGGGGAAAAATGGGGGTTCTTGGAAAAAACAGGGATTTTAGGGGGGAAAAATGGAAATTTTAGAGGGAAAATGGGGATTTTGGGGAAAATTGGCATTTTGGGAGAAAAAATGGCAATTTTAAGGGGGATGTGGGAATTTGGAGGGAAAAAACGGAATTTTGGAGTTGAAAATGGGGATTTTAAAAGGGAAATGGTGATTTTGGGGGGAAAATGGGGATTTTGGGGGGGAAATGGGGATTTGGAGGAGAAAATGGGGATTTTAGGGAATAAAATGGGTATTTGGGGAAAAAACAGGATTTTAGGGGGAAAAATGGGGATTTTGGGAAAAAAAATTGGAATTTTGGGGGGGAAAAATTTGGATTTTTATTGGTTTTAGAGGGAAAAAATGGGAATTTTTGATGAGAAAATAGGAATTTTAGGGGGGAAAATTGAGATTTTTGGGAAAAAAATGAGGATGTGGGGGAAAAATGGGGATTTTCGGGGGAAAAATGGGGATTTTGGCAAAAAATGGGAATTTTGGGGGAAAATGGCAATTTTAAGGAAAAATTAGGGATTTTGGAGAAAAAATGGGGATTTTAGGGGGAAAATGGGGATTTTGGGGGGGAAATGGGGATTTTAGGGATAAAATGGGAATTTTGAGGGGAAATGGGGATTTTGGGGGGAAAAATGGGGATTTGGGGGGAAAAATGGGAGTTTTGGGGGGAAATGGGGGTTTTGGGGGGAAAAATGGGGATTTGGGGAAAAATAGGGGGTTTGGGGGTGAAAATATGGAATTTGGTGGGGAAAATGGGGATTTTGGGGGGAAAATGGGGATTTTGGGGAAAAAATGGGAATTTTGGGGGGAAATGGGGGTTTTGGGTGAAGAAATGGGGATTTTGAATGGTTTCAGAGGGAAAAAAACGGGAGTTTTGGAGGAGAAAATGGGGATTTTAGAGGGAAAAAATGGGGATTTTTAAAGGTTTTAGAGGAAAAAAATGGACAACCCCACGGGGAGATCCTACAGCATCGGGCTGTGACCCACGGATGGACCCACGGACGGACCCACGGATGGACCCACGGACGGACCCACGGACGGACCCACGGACGGACCCACGGACGGACCCACGGATGGACCCACGGATGGACCCACGGACGGACCCACGGATGGACCCACGGACGGACCCACGGACGGACCCACGGATGGACCCACGGACGGACCCACGGATGGACCCACGGACGGACCCACGGACGGACCCACGGATGGACCCACGGATGGACCCACGGATGGACCCACGGATGGACCCACGGACGGACCCACGGACGGACCCACGGATGGACCCACGGATGGAGAAATAAATGCTGGAAATGGAGATTGGATGGATCGTTCTTGGGGGGAAAAATGGGGATTTTGGGAAAAATGGGGATTTTAGGAGAGAAAATGGGGATTTTCAGGGCAAAAAAATTGAGATTTTGGGGGGAAAAAATGGGGATTTTTAATGGTTTTAGAGGGAAAAAATGGGATTTTAGGGGGAAAAATGGGGATTTTGGGGAAAAAATGGGATTTTAGGAAGGGGAAATGGGGATTTAGGGGAGAAAATGGGGATTTTGGGGAAGATGGAGGTTTTGGGGGAAAAAAAAGGAAATTTTAGAGGGAAAATGGGGATTTTGGGGGAAAATGGGGATTTTTAATGATTTTGGAGGGAAAAAAAACGGAAATTTGGATGAGAAAATGGGAATTTTAGAGGGGAAAATTGGGGTTTTGGGAAAAAAAATGGCGGTTTTGGGGAAAAATGGGATTTTAGGAAGGGGAAATGGAGATTTTGGAAAAAAAAATGGGGATTTTGGGAAAAAAAATGGGGATTTTGTGGGGAAAAATGGGGATTTTGGGGGGAAAAATGGGAATTTTAGGGTGAGAAATGGGGATTTGGGGGAAAATGGGGAATTTTGGAGAAAAAATGGGGATTTTGGAGAAAAAATGGGGATTTTAGGGGGAAAACAGGGATTTTAGGGG